ACCCCGGAGGTCCTCTGCAAGAGCTGCAAGTGCTCTTAGCTGCTGAGTCATCTCTTCAGCCCCCTAAATGTGTTCTTTTATAAGTTACTTTCTTGCACTTAGTGTCAGTTCACATGATCATTACTGCACTCTCTTTCACTTCTATTAGATAATTTATAGTATGGGTCACAGTGTGTTCAGTCATTTCCCTGTGGGTAGCATTGAGGATGCTTTGAAAAAAAAATGTTTTATTGTTAATGTTGCTTTGAGTCTGGGTCTCACTGTGTAGCCCAGGCTGGCCTGGAACTCATAGAGATCCACCCGTATCTGCTTTTTGAGTGCCAAGAGTAAATGTGTGCACCACCAAGCCAAGCCTATGCTTTGAGGTTTTAGTTTGTGTATGTGTGGGTATGGGGTGTCCTAAGTGCATAGGTAGAGACCAGAGTCAACATTAGATGTCTTCCACAATCTTTCTTCATGTGTTGTTGTTATTATTTATTTTTGTTTTGTGTGAGTATTTGCATACATACATACATACATATATACATACATACATATATACATACATACATACACCACACGGGTAGAGAACCCACAGAGGCCTGAGAGGGCTTTGAATCCCCTAGAACTAAAGTTACAGATAGTTGTGATCACCTTGTGATCAAACCAGGGTCTTCTGCAAGAGCAGTAAGTGCTCTTAACTGATAAGCTGTCTCTCCAGGGTTCCACCTTGTTTTTTGAGACAGGGTCTCTCACTAAACCTGGAACACATCAATTTTCATTTAGCTGGCTGGCCAATGAGCTCCAGGGATCCACCTGTCTCTGACTCTTGCTGGGATTACAAACACCCACCTTGCTCAACTTTACCTGGGTGCTTGGAATTAGAATCCAGGTCTTCATACTTGTACAGCAATCCTCTTGCCCACTGAGCTATTTCTACAAAACAGTATTTTCATCCAACTGTTTATTGTATGTTTTGGTGTTTTGCTCAGACAAGTTTTCCACTTTAATGGAGTCAGAGGTATCCTTTGTATTTCTTCCAGTCTCCTGTGTTCTATCTGCATAGGACGCTCCTAATAGAATTGGGTGTGATGTCTCATGCCTTTAGTACCAGCACTCTGGATGCAGAGGCAAGCAGATCTCTGTGAGTTCATGGCCAGCCTGGTCTTTAGATTGAGTTCCAAGACAGCCAGAGCATGAAGCTGGAGAGATGGCTCATAAGTTAAGAGCACTGACTTCTCTTCCAGAGGTCCTGAGTTCAGTTCCCAACAACCACATGGTAGCTCACAACCATCTGTAATGAGATCTGATGCCCTCTTCTGGTGTGCAGTGCAGGCATATATACAGGCAGAACACTGTCTATATTTAAAGAAAAAAGACAGCCAGGGCTAAAACACCCTGTGTTGAAAATAAAAGCAAGTTCCTAACAAACAAGTTCATAAGAAAGTATCCTACAGGGCTGGCTGGAGAGATGGCTCAGAGGTTAAGAGCACTGACTGCTCTTCTAGAGGTCTTGAGTTCAATTCCCAGCAACCACATAATGGCTCACAACCATCTGTAATGAGATCTGGTGCCCTCTTCTGGCCTGCAGGCCTGCATGCATGCAGGCAGAATACTGTATACAAAATAAATAAATAAGTCTTAAAAAAAGAGAAAATATCCTACAGATGGAGAGACTGCTCAGCAGTTAAGAACAGAAACATGAGTTCAATTCCCAGTACCCACTCAGCGGCTCACAACTTTCTGCAACTCCAGATCTAGAAGATCTAATGCCCTCTTCTGTCCTCCTCAGTCACCAGGTCCACACATGGTACACAAACATACATGCAGCCAAACACTCATACACACAAAATAAAATAAATCTGAAAAAAAGAAAGTACCATACCATGTTTTTTAAATGTCTTTACCATATTAATTTTTTATCATTTTTAATTCACCATTTTATAATTGATGATTTGCTCTGTTATTTATTTGAAACTTGGTATTTATGGTGTGAGATAAAGTTCTCACTTAATTTTATTCCAAACAGGTGATTTGTGGACACCAGTATATTTAAGCTTGCTTGTAAGCATAACCTGTCCTTATTTGGAATGCCCCTTACAGGCTGGAGGAATGGCTCAGTAATTAAGAACACTTGCCTCTCTTGTAGAGGACCTAGCACCCATTCTGAGTGGCTCACAACCAACTACATCTAACTCAGCTCCAGGGCATCCAACAACCTCTTCTAGCCTCTGTGGGCACTGCACACACATTGTAGGGCAGTATAGTGGTGAATAGTTTTAGAATATCCCTAACCATAGCTCCATCTCTGTACATACATATCTGATAGCGAGTGTACCCTCCATCCTGTTGCCTATCTGGTGTTGCCACTTGGGCACCTTTCCGTTTCTGTCATAGTCATACTCCACCTATTTACTTAGTATTTTATTATGGTGTGTGTTTTTACATTTATTAATTTGAAGAGGCATATGTGAAGGTCAGAGGATGCTTCTCTTCCACCATGTGTGTGTCTTCTAGGAATTGAACTCTGGTCATCAGGCTTGGCAGCAAGCAACTTTACATGCCGAGCCAGCTCTACAACTCTAAAACTAAATACTCACTTTAGCCCCATCCTAGCCATGTAAAATCATGGTCTATTAGTTACTTTTCTGTTGCGGTGATAAAATACCATGACCAAGGCAACTTATAAAAGGAAGGACTGATTTGGGCTTATGGTTCCAGAGGAATTAAGAGTTCATCACCATCCTGGCAGGAAAGCATAGCGACAGGCAGACATGACAACTGGACTAGCAAACTGCAGCCAGTAGGCAGAATGCGTGAACTAGTCATTCTCAGTGGCTTTTGGAAGCCTCAAAGCCCTATCCCAGTGACATACTTCCTCCAGCAAGGACACACCTCATAAACTTACCCAAACAGTGCCACCAACTGAGGACTAAATATTCAAACATCTGAGCCCATAGGGTGGAGTTGCTCCTCCTAGATCTTGCAGGAAGAGAAGAGTATGTGCCCAGGTGTGGCTTGACCTCCTGGTATTCAGGCACAGAAACTTCAGGGAGCTGCCCAGGAAAGGTGTGAACATTACCAGGTGTAAACACCCTCCCTCCTGCCTGTCTCTGCAGATAGCCTGGTCAGACCTCCACCTTTGCAGTTGGGCTCTCTGGGAGTGGGAAGGAAGCCTTTGGGCTCATCTCACCACTGGTAATAGTGGAAGCTGAGCAGAGAAAACCACCCCCTTCATAAGGTTTCCATATTCTTCTGGAATATGGAAAGTACTAGACCTAGGGTGCTAAGCCATCCCAAGAGGCCCATGGTTCCTACAACACGCCAATAGCAAGACCTTCATCCATCAGACATACTCAGCTGCAAGCCTGGGTGGGACCTGGGCTGGAGTGGAGATGGCCTTCTCCCCCCATGCCATCCCGCCCCCTCCCTGACTCACCTACTTCCAGGGCTGCCTGCACATGAAGATGTGATCAGAGCCAGGGCACACCCTGAAGGTTGAACATCCACTGGGGCAAACAGGAGCCATAAGGGTCAGGTCATGGCATGGGTGTTGGAAGGAGGGGCCAAGGCTACCTATCTGGAGCAGAGGTTCTAAAAGGAGGACTGCAGTCCTTCGGGGCTGAAAGGCAAGCAGCACCCCCCAAATAGATATCCTGCCTCCTGTTCTCCAAAGAAATAATGGGCTTTTCCAGAAGATTCCTGTATACCCATTGCTAAAGTCTTTGCTGAAACTTGTCAGCTGTATTAAGGATGCCCCACAGGGTGTTCATGCAGTGAGACAAGGGTAGCTGGCAGCTATTGTTTGGATGTTGGGGACTGAACCTAGGGCCCTGTGCCTACTAAGGCAAGTGTTTCACTGAGCTACATCTCCAGGCCCAGCTTGTTGCTATTGCTGTTACTGTTTGTTGAGAAAGGCTCTCACTATGTAGCCTAGGCTTGCCGCGAACTTGCAGTCTTCCTGCTAACATCCCCCCAGCAGTGGGATTACAGGAGTGAGCTACCACTCTTGGCATAGTCAGTGATTCTAGGGTTTATTGAATACTGACAGTGGGACCTTCAGGGAGTTACTTAAAACTTGCTCCTCATCTATAAAGGGGGAAAATGACAGCTCCATCTCCATGGAAACGCTGGGAAGGTTCAAACTCAAGACCCAACAGCCTTGAAGGCAGGGGCTGAAGAAACACCCTGACCCCTTTGTTCTTACTGCTGCTCGTTTACATGTATTTAATGTGTTAGGACGAAACCCACAACCCTGTTACCCTCACACCTCTGGTCTCTCTTCCAGACAAGTCTCGTGCTTTCATATCTTTAAAAAAATACTTTAATTATGTGTATGTGTCTATGGGGACATTTATACACAAGTGTATAAGTAGCCAGGTGGCAAAAAGAGGGTGCAGAATCCCCCAAAGCTGGAGTTATAGGTGTTGTGAGTCTCTCTATGTGTGTGCTGGGAGCAGAACCCAGGTTCTTTGCAAAAGCAGTTGTCGCTTTTCATGGCTGAGCAGTATTTCCAGCCCCATCTCACCCTTCTTAGGACCACTATGTAAGACTGTTTAGCTAATAGCTTCCCAGCACATAGCAAAAAGCTGTTTCTGCGCCCCCTGGTGGAAGTGAGGGTCCTTGCAGCTGCAGGAGGTCGCATGTTGCAGGGGCTTCCTGAGCAAGAGCTGCCTTCAGTTGCTAAATTGTTGCTGTCGGTGTCATTGTCTTTGTTTGGAGACAGGATCTTTTGTATCCCAGGCATGTCTTGAACTCCTGGTCCTCCTGTTCCACTTCCCAAGTGCTGGGCTTGCAGGTGTGCAGCACCATGCCCTGCTGAGCTGGTGGTAAGCTTTCCAGGCCGCTGCTCCTCCCTTTGTGGGGAATTACAGCTAGTCCCGTCGTGTGACTTCCCACGGGGTACGGTGCTGCCTTAGTCCATCGTCTGATTATTACCTGTGCTAACAGTTTTCACATCAGTGGCGGGGCGCTTTGATTACAGCATTTTCCCTTTCTGAGCTTTGTGATGCTCTGTGGTGATGGTGGGCTGTAGGTTTTATGTGAAAGACATTGGCCGAAAGCCGGAGGTGGCTCGGCTGTATGGGGACACAGCAAGTGGAGTAGTTCCCTGGCTAGAAGATAACCCAGCACCCTAGCAGGGTGGTGCCAGCCCTTGGGCTCCTCCTAGGGTTTCCAGCTCCTATTCTGCTCTCCATATCACATCAGCTAACCTTATGGGCCCCAGGAGGGACCAGGGCTCGGTGTCTCCAGGAAGCCTCTGTGACTGACCACATGCAGTTCTAATCCATCTTCTCTGGACTTGAGGACTTGGTTTGTTTTGTCCCAGTTAGTCCTCACTCTGCAAAGAGAACAGAGCCCTGAATGAGCCACAGTGGGTCCTTCCTGCCCATCATAGCCAATCTGATGTTTTTACTGAGGCACACCTGCCCTTCTCTTCCTCCCTCCCCTCCCTCTCCCACCTCTCTCTCTTCCTCTGTCTTCCTGCCTCCCCTCCCTCTCAACTTCCCTTTATCTATCCATCCATCCATCCATCCATCTTTATCTCCATACCATGGCATACGATTCCCTGCATAGGGCTGCTGAGGAAGCTCAGCTCAGAGAGGCTCGGCAAGTTCTCTGGGATCAACTATTCAGGAAGGGACAGAGGATTCCTGATAGGATCTTATCAGGCCATGAGTTTAAGGTCAGCCTGGACTACATGGTGAAACCCTATGAAGAAGAGAGGGGAAGAGGAGGAGAAAAAAAAAAAAAAACAACCAGATGGTCTAATACAGCTAGTGAATTAACCTAGCTTCCTTCATGGCCCTTGCAGATGCCAAGGGGACCATTCGGGAAATCGTCCTGCCCAAGGGCCTGGACCTTGACCGACCCAAGCGGACCCGCACCTCCTTCACAGCAGAGCAGCTGTACCGCCTGGAGATGGAGTTCCAGCGCTGCCAGTACGTGGTGGGCAGAGAGCGCACAGAGCTGGCCCGTCAGCTGAACCTCTCTGAGACCCAGGTGAGAGTCAGGCCAGGCTTCCCACCATCTGGTCCTGGTATCTGGGGAATGTCTTGGCATATGAGGCCACGAGCTGACATAGAGGGGCATGACTTGGGAAGAACATACACACAGAAGAGGAAAACTTAGAGCCACAGGCAAGGCAGGGCCAGTAGTGTCAACAAGAGTGCTGTGAGTGGTGATACATGCCTGTGATCCTAGCACACAGGAGGTGGAGGCAGACGCATAAAAAATTGGAAGCCAGCCTGGACTGCAGAGTGAGACCCTATCTCAAAGCAAACAAAATTTAAAAGATAAAGAAGAAAGTGAGGGGAAAAAAAGAAGAAAGTGAGGAAAGAAAGAAGGAAGAGAGGAAGGAAAGAAGCAAGGAGGAAATGGGAGAAGGTTCAATGGGTAGAAGCACTTTGCTGAGCAAACATAAGGACCTGAGTTTGAATCCCCAGAAGACACATTAAAAACCTGAATGTGAGCGCCTGCAATCCCAATGCCCCTGTATGGAAATGGAAGACAGGGAAGGAGAGTCTCCTCAGCCTTCTTGCCACAGGCATTTGCAGTGCAGTGAAAAGGCAAGGAGACCCTGTCTCAAACACAGTGTATGGCAAGGACCAACACCCGAGGATGTCCTCTGAACTCCACATGCAGGCTATGGCATACACACGTGCCCATATCATACTCGTGAATGTTCACAGCACACACACACACACACACACACACACACACACACACACACACACACAGAAGGAAGGGAAGTAGAGGAAGGGAGAAAGTCAAGTCTCAACAGAAGGGATCATTCATATGTAAGGAAAATGGAAAAGGCCATGGAGATAGGGGACATTCACAGGCAGGGAATGAGTAGCTTAGAAGATGTGTATTCTGTATGCCACTGTTCTGCTGCTGTAAAGGGACACCATGAGAACAGGGGAGGTTTTGATGGATGCAAAGGTGAGAGCCTGATTCAGTAGTCCTTTCCCTCTACTGGCCAAGAGATGAGCCAAGGACAAGCTGCCAAACCCCAGTGCTGGCAGAGTCACCAACTAGCTTAAATAAGTGCTTCTCTGGCTCTTCAGCAGTTTTTTGTTTTTTTGTTTTTTTCAGTCAGTCCCAGTACATTGCCCCCTGCCCTAGAAGTCCAAGACAGCGGACTAAAGGGACCTCCCTAACATAGGGGGGAAAAAATCAAGCCACCATCCACACTTAGACATCCAGATTCTGTATGAATCCAGGTCCCAGGAAGTGGCCTTTGAAGGATGAGTGGCTAGTGTATGCCTATCATCCCTGCATCCAGCAGGCTGAGGCAGGAGGATGTAGAGTTTAAAGCCAGCCTAGGCTTCACAGGGAGACCTTGTCTGGTTCCTAAATTATTAATGGTATTTTCATTTTCAAATGAACAAGTCTTAGAATTGAGCACTAACCCCAGACCCAAGGAGATATTCTCCCAGAAAAAAAAAAAAAAAAAAAAGTCTCTCAGCCCTGGAAACCACGCTCCTCTTCTGCTGTGTGCCTTTCTGGCCCAGCAAAATATTAGGACATGAGGCCACCAAGCAGTCCATGAGATCCAGGGATCCAAGATGGCAACCTGCAGAGCAACCCAGCAGGGCAGCTAGTGCCCAGGAAACACCCTGCAGGAGAATGCCCTGGCTCTTCGGGAGTCAGCCAGCAATGGCTTCCTGGAAGAATCAGTACAAGAGGAAGGAGGAACCAAAGGCTTCTTGGAGGAGCAGGGGTGGTTCAGGGGGTTTGAGCCTCTTTCAAGTTTACTGAGCTCCTGAACCAGTCTCTAGAAGCCCTGGGATTGATGGTGAGGAACACAGAGGCATGGGTTGGAATCGCCCCCAGGGTTTTCTAGCAATCTTGATGCCTGGGCTGGAGAGATGATGGCTCATTTGTTAAGAGCACTGGCTGTACTTCCACAGAACTAGGGTTCAGTTCCCAGCACCCACATGGCTGCTCACAACTGTCTGTAACTCCAGTTCTGGGGGATCTGACACCTTCACACCAATGCACATAAAATAAAAAAGGAAATCCTGATGCTTCCATCTTGACCCAACTCCAATGGAAAGAATGGGAATGAGCTCTGGGCACTAGGAGTTACAATGTACACGGGAAACTTGAGTGCAGCCAGGCTTAAGAATCTACACATGACAGCAAATGAAATGCCAGGTCCTAGCCTCAGCCTCGCCTTCTCTCCACATCTAGGGCCTACCTGCTGGGAGTCTCCCTTCCCATGCCTTCCTCTCTGCCTGCTCATAGAACTCAAGGCAGGATGTAGTAGGGAGCACAGCCCCAAATTTTGTGCATTGGACATACCCCTTGTCATTGTCACCCATTTCTGCCCAGAATGGTTTGTACCTTTCCCAGCCCAGGTCACATGACTTTGGACCCCCCCCCCCCCTTGCTTCTCAGAGCCACTCAAGTGGCTGGACTTCTGAGGTCCCGTGAAAGCCGAAGAGGGTGAGAAAATCTCCCCAGCCTTGCCCCTCAGGGCCTCTGGGCCACCATTCCTTCTCTTCCTGTCACATACTGTCCCTGCCCATGGATGAGAAGCACCTGTGACACAAACTCAGTTGACAGAGTGTTGATCTAGCATGCACAGAGTACTGAGTGGCATCCCTGGCAAGGTGTCCAACTGGATGTGGTTATTTAGGACTAGAATTCAGCACTGTGATCCCAGCAGGAGGTTCACCAGTTTAAGGTCACCCTCAACTACATAGCAAATTCCAGGCCAGTCTGGGATCATGAGACTCCTCCTTTCCCCCCGTCTAAAATACAAATAAAAAAAGTGGCAGTTGGTTGCTTGGCTTGCATCTCAGTTCAGAGGTCTGGGTCTAAGGCAGCGCTGGGAATTACCTACACATACGTGATGTCAAAGGCCAGATACCTGGCTAAGAGCAAAGTGTGCTTGCCATGAAGGGGCAATTTGATCCTTCAGTGGACTCCCAAACTCCACCTCCTGTCTGCCAATCTGTTCCCGTAGGCCAGAGCATCAGTGAAGGGGTGTCTATACTTTGAGACTTGAGGTGTCCAGTCAGTTCCTCAGTACAGACTGTTGTGAGGTGACACTAAAACCTGCTCTTCTTTCTTCCCCTGTTCCCCCACCACCACCCCTTGTGCCCTTTTACCCCACCCACCTCTGAACTCCTGCTCCTTTTCTCTTGGCTCCGCCTCCTGCCCCTCCCCTTCCGCCTGCCTAAATCTCTGTGTGCTCTCTTCCCCAAGGTGAAGGTCTGGTTCCAGAATCGCCGGACTAAGCAGAAGAAGGACCAGAGCAGAGACCTGGAGAAGCGGGCATCCTCCTCTGCCTCCGAGGCCTTTGCCACCTCCAGCGTTCTGCGGCTTCTGGAACAGGGCCGGCTGCTCTCCGTGCCCAGGGCCCCCAGCCTCCTGGCACTGTCCCCTGGCCTTCCAGGCCTTCCTGCCAGCCACAGGGCCACTTCCTTGGGTGACCCCAGGAACTCCTCCCCAAGCCTCAATCCAGTACCCTCGGCCTCAGCATCGTCCCCCCTGCCAGCCATCTGCTTCTCCACAGCTCCGCTCCTGGACTTGCCTGCCAGCTACAAACTGGGGTCCTCGGCGTTTGAGCCATACATAAGGCTAGAACAACAGAAAGTAGGCAGCCCTGGCCAAAGTGGCAAGAAAGCTGACACTTAAATCCCATCCCCATGTGACACTGAGTCCCCAGCACAGCACTACCCCAGCCTCCTGGCCCCTGTGGACTATACCGAGCAGGCCTGGAAGAGGAGGGGTGGGCACAGCATGCACCTCTCCACCGAGCCTCAGCTCAGAGACTGAACCAAATGACTTTGGTCCCAATGTACTCTCTGATGTGTGTGCACGGGCGTGTGTGCGTGTGTGTGCGTGTGTGTGCGTGTGTTTCTCACTGAAATAAAGAAGGGAACTGGTCCCAGCAGCACCAACTCACCCCCTTCTATCCTTGTCCTCAATGTCCAGCAAATAGGATCCTCAAGAGGGAAGGGGTAGGCACGGGGCTGGTGTCCAGAGGCATGGGTCCGCTATTAGCACAGCTTTTATCTGGGCTCCACAGCCTCTGAGCTTTCTCTGGTTAAGCATTCTCCTATGTAAACTTTTCTTTCAAACTTCAAAACACTTGTTCGAGTGGGCAGTGAGTCCTTCCAGAGGGCGAAGGGGGTGACAGGAGATCTGAGAGGGCATCAAAGGTACGGCAGAGCAAGGCTGGCCTGGAGAGAGGGCCTGCGCAACAGGAAGCACCCAGAAAATCCCATTATGCTCACATTGCTTTCATTTAACTTTTATTTGTAATAGCTAGAGGTTCTCAGGAAGTTGTCCGCCCACTGAACTCTGACTTTTCTAGTTCCTGTGACAAAGCATGTAGCAGAAGCCAGGTGAGGAAGGAAAGGTTTATCTTAGCTTATTGCTTGAAGGTGCAGTCTGTCTTGGCCGGAAGGCATAGCCACAGAAGTGAGGCAGCTGGTCACACTGCACCCGCAGTCAGGAAGCTGGGACTTAGGTCTCATTCTCATTTTTCTTCAGTCTGGGACTCCAGCCCAAGGACTGATGTCACCCACATTCAGGGTGGGTCTTCTCCTTAGTTAAGACTCAGGAAATGCGCTGACAGATATTCCTAGAGGTATGTAGAATGGAGGTGATTCTAAACCCACCAAGGTGACAATCCTGGCTCTGCGTCATCACCCACTTCTGCTAACTTGGCACATAAACATAACTTTTTAAAAAATTTTATTAGTTCAAATTAGGAACAAGCTTGCTTCAGATGTCAATCCCTTCTCCCTCTCCCTCCCCCCCCCACATCCCCCCCCCCCCCCCCCATCCCCCCCCCCCCCCCCCCCCCCGGGCAGGGCAAGGCTCTGAGAAGGGGCTCCACAAAGTCTACCACATCATCCTGGGCCAGGCCTAGGCCCTTCCCCATAAACATAACTTTTAATCAACAGTATTCTACCCCTCGTCTCTAGATGCTCATGTCATCTCACAGTGTGAAATGTTTGTTTTTTCTTCTATTTCTTTAAGGGATTTTCTCGTTTCCTCTTTAAGGGTCTCTATCATCTTGGTAAAATAGTTTTTAAGGTCCTTCTCTTCTGCTTCATCTGTGTTGGGCTTTTCAGGTCTTGCTGGTGTGGAGTCGCTAGATTCTGGTGGTGGCGTATTGGTCTTTCTGTTGTAGTGTGTGTTCTTATACTGTCATCTTTCCATCCCTTCTTCGAGTGGGTGCAGGTGGGGTCTCTCCCTCTCCTCTAGTCTCATGGTGGCATAGGTAGGCCAAGACTTCAATGTCTGCAACTCTGGATGGTCCAGCCTCTCCTGGTGTTCTCCTAACTCAAGCAGAGGGCATAGAGCATGCTGAGACTCAAGTGGAGGGCGGAGGGCGTACTGGGCAGGGGCAAGACTGAGGTGTGGCCAGACTCAGGGTGGTCGGGGCAGGTCCACTCTATGCACAGAGCAGTCCCAGGAAGATCCAAGGGGGGTAGGTGATGGTGGGAGTTGGTCCCAGAGCAGAGCCCATACTCACCTCAAGCCTCACTGTGTGAAATGTGTTTAGTCTATCTCCACAAGTACCTGAATCTTCACAATTCCACAGCTGTTCAAAAGTGTGGTGATTCAGACAAACTCTTAACGGAAAGAGCCTATTCTTAAAACATTACACACTTTCAATACACAAAGGCACAGAACCAATGTTCCCATTCCAAAAGGGACGAATGGGCCATAACAAGGAAAGAATGAGCCGAAGCAAGACCAAAACCCAGCAGGGTAAATAGAAATCCCGTGGCTCTGGCATCTGGGACCAGGTATCCAGGCAGGGATATGGAGGTGCCAATGACCTTGGGTAGCTGTCTCTTAGTTCTGCCACTTAGAGCACATATAAGCATCTGTCTTGAGCTAACTCCACGCTGTGCTCACAGCTTTTCTCAACAGATGTTCATGGCCCTAGCATCTTCATTACAACTTATGCTTTACCCTCAGAGTTCCACACAGTAGCTTCTTAGGGCCTCCTTGAAGGGGATTCAAACCTGCCACACATGGCCTGGCCTCAACAGCTTTCTAGAACCTTGGTGCAAACCCTCATGACCCTGTAACTCTTGCATTTTGCATACCCTTATCACCAGCAACACGTGGATACTTCTGCCAAGTTCTGCTATGAGTTTATGATGTGGTCTGACCCCTTCTACCACAACTTTAGTGGCCTCTGTGTTCTTCAGCAGTCAAACCTCAGAGAACTCTTAAGGGTTCCTCAGTCCAGTCTCTCTTCTTTCAAATGAACTTGCATTTTCACAAGTCAGAGAGTTTGATGGGTGCCGTGCTTCTCTATGGTGGCCTTAACCTCTCTAACAGCTGCCGCTGTGTTGCTTCCAACCTTGCTTTGACTGTAACGTTAAACTCCCTCTTTTTGATAAACTGTACACTTGTCATATCTTTGCTCTGTATGCATGCTGCTCCCTCTCACTGTAGACCTGCATAAGACCGATGAGCAGTAACCATGCTACAGCCTGAATGCTGTCCTAACGTTTTAATTACTTTTCTGTTGCTGTGATAAGATACCACAACAAAGGCAATTTATAGAGGAGTTTATTTGGGGCTCATAGTTGTAGAGTTAGAGTCATGACCATCATGGCAGGGTGCATGGCAGCATGCAGGCACAGTGCTAAAGCAGCAGCTGAAAGCTTTTACACAGATCCGAAAACAGGAAGAAGCAGAGAGAGAGAGAGAGAGAGAGAGAGAGAGAGAGAGAGAGAGAGAGAGCGCACTGGGAATGGTGCAAGCGTTTTGAAACCTCAAAGCCCAGCCCCAGTGACACACCTCCTCTAACTAGGCCACACCTCCTAATCCTTCCCAAACAGCTCTACCAACTAGGAACCTAGTATTCAAACATACAAGGCTACAGGAGCCAGTCTCATTCAAACCACCACACCTGCCATGAGATTTCCTCTGTCAAACAGATCAGTCCATCACTTCTAAGTTCAGTCTCACTCAAATTCTCAGGATACGGGCAGAATAAATTCAGATTCTTTTCCAGAATAAAATACGAATCACTTCTTGCCCATTTAATCATAAAGGCCTTGTTCCACTCTGAAACTTAATGTGCTAGCTGCAATGGTCCATATATCTCTCTGCATTCTAGTCTTCTGCCAGAGTGGCCAATTTCACTCTTCTTAGACCATTCTAGAATGGCTTCACTAGACTGCTGTCGAAAAACTTGTCCACATTCCCCTCACAAACCACTTGCAGAGGCCTAAAAAATACCACATGGCCAGGTTTGCAGTAACAAGTCCACTCCTGGTGCCAGTGTTCTGTTAGTTACTTTTTCATTGCTATGACAAGGTACCTGTTGTTGAAAGTTGAGTCTATTTTGGTTCATGGTTTGAGATTGCACTATGGTAGGAAAGGCATGGCAGTGGCAGGAGTTGGGAGAGCTGTGCATATTTCCTAGATGTTTCTAAGTCCTGTCAAGCTGGCAGTCAAAGTTAGCCATCACACCTAATTACCCACAATGGTAGCATTTTTAATATCTAGCATATATCACACAGAAAAGTAACACTAGGACCAGGGGCAAAAGTTCACCTCATCTCACCTGCTGTGTAGACTCATGGAAGCATGCAAGAAGGACTCTGCTCCTTCGTAGCCACACTCAGCCCCCAGCAGAAAAGTTCTTTGACAGATTGGGATGCATGAAAGAGGAGCAGAGACCAGAAATGGACCAGTGCTGGAGGGAGAGAGCAGGGAAGACAGCTCAGATTGATTCCAAGGAACATGGTAGCTTCCTGCAGGTGACCTGTAACTGGCCATGAGATGAACCTTTAAAGACAATGAGGTGATAGAATGGAGAGGGAGGGTACCCAGTATGGCTCAGGAAAAACGGTGCAAGTTGTGAGGACAATGAGAAGACAGTCTGCCAGAAATAGGGCATAAGGAGACCAAGAAGTGTTATAGTGAGGGACAAGGGCTTGTTGAAAGTAGGTAAAGCTGAAGCCACACTCACTGTAGGAACTGTGCAGAGGGACATTTTGGCACAAAAGTTAGGAAAAATGTCGCACACCTTGCTCTGTCCTTCATAGCAAGCTTTTGGCACCCAGGGGGCCAGCCACTACAGGATCTGCTCAGCCTGTACATGAGAAACTTTCGGAGCTGGTACGTGCCAGCTTCCCTGTTTACAGTCAACTTGGCAGAGGAGGGGGGAGCAAGGACAGAAGGAAGAGGAGGGGTGGCCACTGGCACAAGCTGAGCCGCCTGCTCCAGCTCCAGCTGGAACTGAAGTCTTGGAGTTGCCACCAGTCTTTTCAGGCACTGACTCCCAGCTCTCCACACACCATGGCCACGAAAGTAGACAGCAGGTCTGGGGGATTCACTAGCAATAGCTGTGAGTCAGTCGCAACCCGAGAGCATGTGCAGGCTGTGAGCCGAAACTACATCACCCACCCCCGTGTCAGTGAGTATTCATGTCCAGCTGGGGAGGGGAGTGGGCTGCTGGGAAGGTGCTTCAGCCTCTGAAAAGGAGGGCCAGGACCTAGGGAGATCAGGAGCCTCTGGGAACAACGGAGCTTCGGAGCTTCGCCTGGATCACCTCCGCAGGTGGAGGGATGGCGGTCCCCATTGGGGCTGAGGAGAGGGCTGAGTAGCAACTGTTATCGTCAGGATCCTAAGACTCAAGGTCCAGAGAGAGAAACAGTGGAGAGAGAGAGGGAGGGAAGGAGAACACATGTGGGCATGTGTGAGTGGGTACATGGATCTGCAGTGACGTGTAGACGTATCGTCAGTGGGCACTTGTCTTGAGGAATTTAGTAACCAGTGTGTTGGGCCTGAATCACCTCCTACGGGAGAGAATCTGGATATAGAAGCATGTACTAGAAGGCCATTCTCCACGGAGAGGGCAAAATGTGTGTGTGTGTGTGTGTGTGTGTGTGTGTGTGTGTGTGTGTGTGCTTGTGCACTCAGGGTGGAGGTGAGATATGTGTATGTGTGTATGTGTATGCTCTTGCTCTTGGACATAATGTGCATGTGTGCTCAAGGAGAGAACGCATATGGATTTATGCTTACATGATATATGAGAACACATGTAACTGTGGAAATGTGTGTATACTGTTGGGGCAGGAACATGTACTTGTTCATACATGATGTGCCTTTCCCATTTTGTCAGGAGGCAACTCTGTGCCTGATTTGTAAGGGTGAGTCAAGTCAATGCCAGGGACAGAAAACCTGGCAAAGGTCCACAGGGCCAAAGCCACCCCCCATGTTCTTGTCCAAGGTCACTCTCCCTGGCCCGGTAAAGTCTCAGGCAGCCCAGCTCACTGGAGTAAACCAGCCTGAGTGGCCCCAGCTGAGCAGAGCCTGAGGCTCCTAACAGGGGGTGCTGGGTGTTGGGAAGGTGCTAGACACAGCCATCCTTCTTTACCCTGACTCCAAAGGTACCCAGCCCCACAGGGAATCCCACAACTGAGCTCAGAGGGAGCAGGGTGCCTTTCAGCCTTCAGACAGCAGAGCCCTGGGAGCAGCTAAGCCTGAGACCCGTAGAGTGTGCACCAGCTAGCGAGAAAAAAAAGGGGGCAGGCCATGCCTCTCAAGGTGGCCTGAAGGCCCTGCCTCATGGACATAGAGTCTACAGAAAACCTCCAGGCAAAGGCCTTGGAGGTCACCAGGGCCCAGAAATCAGTGGAGAGGGGGGCCTCATTATGCCCAGGGCTTGGGGCCATGTGATACCCTGCCCCTGCAGGCCCAACCACCTGTGGGCAAAGGAGAGCTGCCAGGTTGGGTGGGGCAGGAGTCTGGACCTCCAGGCTCAGCTTTCCTTCTGGAATGTTGCCTTACAGGGATCTACAAGGATCTCCTGGCACAAAATTCATGCAGCCTCCCCTCACCAGCCCACCTTTTCTTCCAGGTGGGAGGGCTCAAGCTAGAGCAGCCCTCACCAGCTTCTTCCTGCTAGCAACTTATTTATTGTCAACACCCTGCAGGTTCTCTCTCTCTCTCTCTCTCTCTCTCTCTCTCTCTCTCTCTCTCTCTCTTTCACAAGATCACACCATCAGTGACAGAACAAAGGCTACAGAAGTGTGCCTTCCAGACTCTGCCATGGTACCCCACCTTATCACAGGCTGAGAGTCCTCCCAGGACATGCTAGGGCCTGGACTAGCCCTCCAGGACACCCTCCTAGACCAGCTCAGCTCAGTTCCCCATACCCCTCCACCCATCTTGGGTACCTGGGTGGAGAATTCTTCCTGGGAGATGTGGCCAAAGGTAGGCGGCCCCTCCCCCAGAGCTGTCGCCTCCCTGACAAGGCAGGTGTGCTGTCCTCCTCTGCCTTGCTCCTCCAGCCAAGCCCTCTACTCTGAAACTCCAGGCACTCCAGAAACTCCACTGAAGAAGTGGAAAGGGAGTCTGGGAGACAGGCCAGCCCAGACAGAGTTCAGGGGCCCCAGGCCTCATGTAGCTTTGCATAGAGGTAGTCTGGTCACCCCAGGGCATAGCTGGGGCTGGAAGGGTAGCTTTAATGCTGGGCTGAGGGACAGAGCTGGCCAGAAAGGAGGAGGGCAGAGTTGGGACTGGACGTGAGTGCGGGCAATATCCTCCTTGGGAAGCAGGGCCCTCCTTCAGCGGCTTATTGTAGAGGACAGTGCAGCTTCATGGGATCGCTGGGTAGATGTCGAGCACTGCCTGTGCAAAGGTGCAAAAGGACAAGTGACAGCCTGGTTGGAGGGATGGAGCCATGTCAGGACTTTCATCCAGGGTTGGAGAGCCAAAGGGGAGGAAGTTACAGTAGAGTCCTAACAAGCAGGTTCTGATTCTAAGACCCCCACCTTCCAGTGGTGACCCCTCCCCCGTCCCCCCAGCTGGGATGGGGGTGGGGGAACTGGACCTGCTGCCCTAGGCTTGCCCCCCCACCGTGGCCTCCAGCCTGCTGGGGGAGGGGAGGAGACAGGACACTGCAGGTGTGGCTGGTCAGGCGCTAATTAGGACCTTGGAGGAGCCCTGCTGAGCCTTTGACCAGGAAGGCTGTGGGGAGATGGGGGTAGGGAGCTCTCTTCCACACTGCAGCCCCCAATGTCAGAGACAATGGGAAGGGGTAGGCAGAGGGGGGAGAGTGTCTGCTAAGTCTGGGGAAAGCCCATTGAGAGAGGGAATGCCCTGAGGTCAGTGAGCCATCACTCCTGGCAGCTCATCACCCTGTGTCTTTCTTCAGGGTCAAGTGGGACTTCCCTGGGTGGGCAGTGCCTTAATCCCCCAGTGCCCCAGAACCCGCTGAACCTCTCCACTTTAGTTTACCTCTCCATGCAAGGGACACAGTCAGGGTTCCCACCAGCCAAGGACATCTTTGTTGCTCAGTTTTCCTTTGCCTGAGTCCTAACTGGACAACTCAAGGGTGGGTGTGCTGGCACACCTATGAGGCAGGAGTTTGAGGTCAGCCTGGTATATAAGAGTGAGTTCGAAGGAAGCCTTCTCTGTCTCTATCTCTGTCTCTGACTCTGACTCTGACTCTTTCTGTCTCTGTCTCTCTGTCTGTCTCTCTCTCTCTCTCTCTCTCTCTCTCACACACACACACACCAATGTAATGAAACCAGATGGCTCTGAGAAAAGGTCTAGTCTTATGTTGGGGTCTACAATCCCTCAGGGTGCCAGTCTGTGGTGTTGGGGATTTCCAGGGGAGAAGCACTGCAGGGATAAGCAAGGGCAAGGCCTGAAGATTTGTTGAGTAGAAAATGATACTCAATAGTTGTCTACAGTGAGGGCCCACAATGCAGAGAGCTGTGCCCTCTTCAGCTACTCTAATATTCCTGTCTTGAACTAGCCTAGTGGATGGATCCTGCAGTCTGAAAAGAAGGTTGGGGTGCTGTGGAGACTCCAGAGACCTCACAGTGGCTGCCATCTAGTCTGGCCTGAGGGAAGCTAAAAATCTCCCAACCTGACTCCCTAAGGGCCAGGTAGGCCACCCAGCATTGCCCATTGCTTCACGTCAGGCAGGGTGCCCAACACTGCCCCCTCCATCCCTTCCTCCATCACTCTGGCAGGGTGCCCAGCATTGCACCCCATCCTTTCTTCCTTCACTCAGGAAAGGTGTCCAGTCTCCAATAGTACAATGATATAGTAGCCCTCTTGTTAGGGTGGGTGCAGGGGCAGGAGGACATTGAGGGGGAGCCAATGAGCATGGGTGGTAGGGCTGGCCTGAAGGACAAATGCAGGGTGGAGAGCTGGCCCTTCACCCAGGAGGGGCTTCTCCTGGATCCTGCCTCAGATAAAGGTGGACCTCCTTCAGGGGCAATAGGTAGCTCTGGTAGGGAATGGGGCGTCCTAATCTGGCAGTTCTGGGATCATCCTTGAGTTTTACACTAGAGTCTTTGCACTAGGAGGGTTCTGGCAAAGAGTAGCAGAAGAATGGCCTTATGTATTTGATCTTTCTTGTGCATGTGCTGGGAAGCAGCTTAAATGACTGGGAAGGCATGGCCAGGGACACTGGCTTCCTCTGGGGCTAGGCATGCTGTGGGCCTCTTTGGATGATAAGGGGCTCAGGGCAGACCCTTTCCAAGATGTGCCACAAGCGTGCCCATGACTTTGAGCCAGGCTTTTCTCAGTCCCAGGCCCATTAAGCTCTGTGGCCTGTGAGTGACCCAGGATCCAGTTCCTTCCCAGCACCCAACTTATCTGGTCTGGCCAAATTACTTGTCTCCACTGTATTATTGGTGCCCCCATAGAATCCCTGAGAGAGACTAGCTATGACACTCCATTGCCATAGGGATCACATTGCTCAAGGAACCACAGCCTCCTCAGAGCCCCTGAGCTAGCCCCAGGAAGATCAAAAGTAGACTTCCTAGCTATTGATCCTTTGATTTTACCCTGGAAGCCAAACTCTCTTCTTGGTGTGTGTGTGTGTGGGGGGGGGTGTTATCTGTGTGTGTGTGTTTGTGTGTGGTATGTGTGGTGTGGAGGTGTGTGTGTGTGTGTGTATGTGTGTGTTTCTTCCTGGTATCATCCTCTTCTCCCCAACAGGATGCCCAGTGAGCTGGTGGGACCTGACCAGGGCTTGGTAGAGGAAGCAGAGGGCTGCAGCACCCCTCATCCCAAAGGGCTCATCAGTGCAGGGTGAAGGGAGGGCAATGGGGGTCTGGGGATGGGCCCAGGAGGCCACAGCTGTGCCCCAGTCGCTTTTGGAAAATTCAAGTGGAGTTGGGAAGAGGGAGTAGGTGAGGTGGGGGTTGAGGCCAGAGGGGAAGCACATGGGGTGGAGAGCTCAGAGGGCCTGAGCAGGACTCTGAGGAGGCCTCTGCCCTCATGCCCTCTTCCAGCATCCTGCAGGTGTCGAGACAGTGGGGGGTCTGTGGCAGGGTCTTGACCCTTACAGCAATGGTGGCTGGTGCTGTCACAGCTAATGACCCTGATGGCCCAGGCTGAGGAGGAGGTGGGGATGCGTGAAGGGCAGGAGACAGGATGCTCCTCTCTCTCTCTCTCTCTCTCTCTCTCTCTCTCTCTCTCTCTCTTTCTGTGTGTGTGTGTGTGTGTGTGTGTGTGTGTGTGTCAGTAAATGTGTCTCAGTAAATGTGTCTCTCAATGAATGTGTGTGTGTGTCAGTAAATGTGTACGTGGTGTCTCAGTGAATGTGTGGGCACGCACATTCGCGCATTTTCCTTGAGGCAGAACATAGTGGGACTTAGAGGTAGACCCTCACCCACTCCTCCCCTCGCCAGCCTACAGGACCGTGTGCAGCGTCAATGGGCCTCTGGTGGTGCTGGACCAGGTCAAGGTAAGACCCTTCAGTCTGCTTTCTGGCCCCTAGGCTATGTCCTGAGTTTCTCTTAAGTTGCCCATCCAGAGGCCTTGTTTCCTTCTTTTTAACTCTGTCACCCCTCAAGCCTGCAATTTCTTATTCACACTTTGCCGGTGGGAGGCTGTAAGCTCACCCGTACTCAAGGCCTGGGGCTGGGGGCTCAGGCTGGGGTGAGTGCTGGCCCTGGAAATCCTGTTCTACCCAGACTGGCCCACCTCTCCTTTCCGCTAGAGATCAAACCCAGGACCTTACAGCATTCTCTGGCCTGAAATTTTTCTCTTCAGGCTGACAGCCCTTCCTCTCCAGTGAGAGGACAAACACTGCGGACAGCAATGGTTTCAGAGACTCAGGCTCACAAGGAACAGAGCAGAGTGGAGGAAAGAGCGGGACTTTTGTTTAGATTCCCTGGTGTCCCTGTCTCCCTGCTCTTGGGCGCCCTCTTGTGGTTCAGACCCCAAACGGCTGGACTTCAGCATCTCCAGTCACCGCGGATTCGGGTGGGGAAGGCCTCTTCTAGAGCAACCCCACCCGTCGGGGCCTAAAGAGCCCGGGAGAAGGGAACACCTTTGTGTCTTTCTTTACACCAGTACAAACAAAACCGCCATTAGTGGCCATTATCGCTGCAAATCTGAGAAGGGACGCTCTGGGGGAGTGGCCTGCCTTAGTCACTAGTCCAAACGGCACTGTCCCCAAACTCATAAGGTTAGTAGTGTGTGGCCATCAGAGGACAGAATGACAGCCACGATGATAAATTGCAGCACCATAACATGTTACCAAATGCTATTACATTTTAATAACAACCGGGCGGTGGTGGCATACACCATTAAGCCCAGCACTCGGGAAGCAGAGACAAGTGGATCTCTGTGTGTTCCAGGCCAGCCTGGTCTACAGAGCGAGTTCCAGGACAGGCTCCAAAGCTACAGAGAAACCCTGTCTTGAGAATAAAGTACATGCTCCTTGTACCCAGAGAAACAAAGGAAAAACAGTTAACCATCAGTCCCTTTGTCCCCAGCTCCGTGGGACAGCTGTGTGAGACCTGCAGTCTATGCTCATATTGAGGTGAACAGCGCATGTGCAGAGACACACATGTATCCCTGCTGGATGGTGACCTAGCAGGTTGTGTTTCTGGGTATACTGATATTTGTGGTATTTAATCTTCAATGTCAACTGCATTGGATTTTAGAATCACCTAGGAGACACACACCACCGGGTGTGTGTGAGAGCATTTCCAGGGAGGTTTAATTGAGAACGAAAGACTTGCCCAGAATATGAATGGCACCATCCCTTAAGGGGTCCCAAGCTGAATAAAAAGGAAAGAGGGAGATCGGGTGCTGAAATCCAGAAGTCATCTCTCCTTGAGACCTCAAGCTCTGGCCCAAGTCTTTCCCTCCATAGTGGACTGCATCCTCTCAGACCAAGAGCCAAAACAAAGTCTTTTAAAAGGTGTTTTTGTCACAGCAAAGAGAAAAAAATGAATATGGATTTATTCAGCAATATCATTCTGTTTCCAGGTTCTGCTGTTACAGATAGTTCATGAACACACACCATTTTATACTGATTCTCTCATTGCTATACGAGAGCTACAGTGGTAGAATTGTGTGTTCAGAAGGTAACTGTATTTAAAGATAGACATTGGGGCTGGAGAGATGGCTCAGAGATTAAGACCACTGGCTCCTCTTCCAGAAGTCCTGAGTTCAATTCTCAGTAACCACATGGTGGCTCACAACCATCCATTATGAGATCTGGTGCCCTCTACTGGTGTGCAGATATACATGGAAGCAGAATGTTGTATACATAATAAATAAAATCTTAAAAAAAAAGCAAATGTTTAAAAAAATAAAGATAGACATTGGTAGAAGGTGTGTCTCAGGAGCAGAGAGAGTGCTTATGAAACTCACTGCCTTGGGTCTATCATCAGCACCACAAATAAATACACGGATACTGGTCAGGACAAGAGTGCTTGCTCTGAAAAGTGCAGTGATTGAACCCCCAGAAGGGTCTGTGGGAGGACCCAACATCACATCCCTGGAGACACTGAGTGTGTTCTCATCTGTGATGTTGCTGTAAGCGAGAACTTTACTGACTGAGCCTTCTTCCAGCCCCCCTTTTCTCTTTCCTCTTTCTTTCTTTCCTGCATTTTGTGCTTGTTTTGGGGACAGGATCTCTTCCAGCCCAGACTGGCCACATCATTATGTCTGAAGGATAACCTTGAGCTCCGGAGTACTTGCCTCAGTTTAAGTGCTGGTTCTCTCTGCCTCCATTATTCCTTATTTTTTAAACATAAAATAAACACTTTGTTGGTTTTTGTCTGTACCCATAGAAAGTTATTGTTTTAAAGCTTCCTCTTTATTTTTTTCCCCCGAGACAGGGTTTCTTTTTGTAGCCTTGGCTGCTCTAGAACTCGCTCTGGAGGCCAGGCTGGCCTCGAACTCAGAGAGATCCCTCTGCCTCTGCCTCTCTAGTACTGGGATTAAAGGCATGAACTACCAATGCCCAGCTTTTATTTTCATTTGTGTGTATATGTCTGTGTACATGTCTGTCATGTGTGTTCAGGTGCCATCAGAGGTCAAAAGGAGTTAGAGGATATTGTGAACTTTTAACCGCTAAGCCATCTCCAAACCTCCATAGACAATTTTTTAACTTTCTCCTCCAATTTTTGGGATAATGATTTATTAATCTTTTAATCCATTAATAAAATTAACTTCACTGGTAGGTTCCCTGTTAATCTTGTGTTCCTGAAATCAGTGCTGGGAGTTTAATCTTCATTTTAATTTGTTTTCTGGTTTGTTTGTTTTGTTTTGTTTTTCTCTTAGGTTTGGTTTTGTGACTTGGTCTTTTTCTACGTCTCTGGACTGAGCTTGTGAATGTTCAATGAGGATTTTGGGCTCTCTGTCCATGAGCAGACAGCCTACAATTTGCCAAAAAGGGTGTTATTTTGTTGTCAGTATCATTTGCCTCATAAAATGAATTAAACCCAGTACCTTTACCCCCCAACTTTTGAAGAACTTAAGCAAATTTCAAATTATTTGTTTTTGCTTGTTAGAATTTGCTGGCACAACACTTATGTGGCTGATGCTTTAAACAATTTAATATATTTGAAATTACAAAATCTTACTCCATAAGTTTAAAAGGAATAAAAATGGTAAGTGTGAAACGATTTGATGTGGTCATTAGCATAATTTAATATCCAATAATGTTAATGCCACTCATTTATTTATATAAGTTCATCTTTACCTGTAAAAAATGAAATAAGCTTGTAAACTGACTGAATTGAGTAAAAGCACATGGAAAAATAACTGTGAAAAGGTTAAAAATAAATTACAGAATCAGCCAAGGTGGTACAAGTCTTTATTCCCAGCACTCGGCAGGCAGATCTGTGAGTTCAAGTCCAGACTGCTCTACAGAGTGAGTGCCAGGACAGCTGGGGATCTTGTCTCAAAAGAAAAATACGATTATTCTTTCTATTAATTTTTAATTGGTTTTATATTCTCCTAATTCTTCATTCATTTCTTCTAAGTTCTTATATATATTTCTTTTATTGTTTTTGGAATATGGTTAGTAGAGATTGCTGTAGGTTCTTTTTCCAACAGCTATTTATTCTCTTTTCTTTTTCTTTTAGATTTATTTCTATTTATGTGTATGTGTATGTGTGTGCACATGAGTGCAATGCCCCCAGAGACCAGCAGACAGCGTTGGAAACTCTGCTACTAGATCTGAAAGCCCTGTTTTCTTTCCCCTTCTTTCTTTCTCTCTTTTTTTCTTCTCTGACTAATGCTTCCATGAGCATTCACATACAAGATTTTATGGGATATATATGTATTTAGTTTCTTTCTCAATTAGATATCTAAGAGCAAAACTGCTTAGGTCAAATGGTAACTCTATTCTAAACTTTTGAGGGACTGCATGTTAGTTAGTATAAACCAAGTGCATTGGTTTATACTTGGAAAAGTAAAGACAGTTCTAATTTCTCCATATCCTCGGTAGTTTGTGTCAGTATCCTATTTCTTCCCCAGCCACCCTAGCAGGTGTACAGTGTTGTCTTATCATGGTTTTGATTTTCATTTTCTTGTTGACCAAGGAGAATAACCGATGAGCATGTTGCTACCTGCCTACTGGCCATCTCTGCATCTTTAGAGAAATGCCTGTTCAAATGCTTTAATCAAATCCCTTTTATCATAGGAGCCCCTTATATATTTTGTTTATTAACCTGATTTTTGTTTAAATTCCTAACCATTACACAGATGTCAACCCAAGCTCCATAGCTAGGAATAGGTTTGTCACTGGTTCATGATGACACCTGGAAAACAGGGGAGTCTTTCTTCTGGTAACAAGTGGGCTCCTCTTGGTGCTCAGGAGACCTGGGTGGCCACAATGGCCACTTTGTGCTACTGATCCCCACCCCCACATCACCTCACCCCACCTGGCACTGTGCTAACAGCTTGTCTGTATGGTTCCCATCCTGGTCACAGCAGCCTTGTGGGGTGAGGCTAATTCTTAGCACCGTTGTTTTAAAGAGGAGAAAACTAATGACTTAAGGGCTCGGGTAAAAGGTGTAAATAATTAGATGGCTTTCACAAACTTGCATTAGGAAGGAGATTTGGGTAGAACTGACTAAAATCGCAGTTCTCTCCAGGGTGCCCCCTCCCAAATAAAACCCCTTCCCTACATCAGGGAAAGACAGACAGTAGCTTGAGACCAGAAGGTGAAGTGGAAAGTGACACGGGCTTTACCCTGGGTGGCTCCTCTCCCTAACAGTTTGCCCAGTATGCAGAGATTGTCAACTTTACCCTCCCGGATGGGACTCAGAGGAGTGGCCAAGTGCTTGAAGTGGCTGGGACCAAAGCCATTGTTCAGGTAAGTGTGCCAATGGGAAGGGTGAGCTCCTAATTCCCAATTACAAGCCTGGGAGGGAAGGACCGCCTGTTTCCCAGAGAATGCCCTACTCAGAGCTGTGCCCCACCTCCAGCGCCCACAGTGGGAGGCCCCATTCTTGTCAGCTACCCCCACAGAACAACCCTCCCTAACTCACAGGTGTTTGAAGGGACCTCAGGGATCGATTCCCAGAAGACCACCTGTGAATTCACAGGGGACATCCTTCGGACTCCTGTGTCAGAAGACATGCTGGGTGAGAGTGGAGTGGCAGGGTGGGCACTCCTCTGTCTTTCTCTCCTGGCTTCTCTAACCAAGCCTTTCACTGCATGTATACCTGTGTGTTTCCTATGTGCCCTCTGAAGCCAGAGGTTATATTTTCTCTCTCTAGCTCCCATCCCTAGTGCAGGGCCCAATATAGAACGTGCTCAACAAGGAAGGAGTGAGGTTAAGTCATTACAGGTGCAGCTGGAAGCCACCTTCTCAGGGCTAGGCTGAAAGGGATGATGAAGCCCTTCCTTTACCTGCCTGATCCTCTGATTAGTGATCAGCCTGGGCCCAGGCCAGTGGTCAGGGTGACTCCCCAATGCCTTGCCTATGACAATTCTCAGAAGAGGAAGGAAGATATTCCATCCTTTGCAGGGACACTCATGGAAGTGGGCCATGTGTGATGGCAGGGGGGCTGAGGAGGCAGGGAACACAGCGTGATGGGATTCTGGAGGAGGAGTATGTGGAGCTGGTGGCCATGCAGAGACTGGGAGCCCTGACACTCTCCTGAACCCCTTGTCCCTCCCAGGTCGGATTTTCAATGGCTCTGGCAAACCCATTGACAAAGGGCCTGTTGTCATGGCAGAGGAATTTCTGGACATTAATGGTGAGAGCGTAGAAGCTCTGCAAGGCTTTGAGGACACAGCCCCAGCACTTTCCATCCAAGCAGTCATCGCCGCCACCCACCCTTGGAAGTCATGCATGGACCTAGGGCAAGCAGTGCTAGCCCCAAGGCTGAAGCCCCATGACTGGCCAGATGAACAGGCAGACCAGCAAAGGCCCCTGTCCCCAGATCCCCCATAGTACCCCAGACTGCCCCTAGCACTCCATTCCATCATTGCGCAGCACCTGCAGTCATCCCCTGTGGCCTTTAGTTCCCTATGCTTTATCCTGGGAACCTCAGGCGGGGGAAGCTCACAGCAGAGAGGGACCCCTTCCCAGGACCCCCAGAAGCCCTTTCTGATTCCCCAGCCCATCAGTTTTCTGAGGCAGTAATGGAGGCCTGTGGAGCTCCCTCGTTTGACCAAGGCCACACAGCAAAGTAGTGGCCAAGCACACATTTGTTCACACATAGTCTTTAAGTCACCCTCTGGTCCTCTGCACATCACTCAGGTGCCTACATGCTGAGGGGCCCTGCCTAGTTAAGGTGCTAAGGTTAATGCTATCTAAGATGGCATGGAGCCATGGCTCTTTAAGCTTAAACCAATTCAAACAAGAGGAGATTTCATTTTTAAATTGCATCTCATATGCACAGGAGCCATGGGTGCCTGGGTGACACTGTGCACACAGTCCCGCTGTTGCAGAAGGGGCTGTTGTACTGGCTGGTTGGCAGAGAGAGATGGTGATGGTGGGTGGTGCATGGAAGGGCTGGAGGCTGAACCTGGCTCCATGATCACCCCTCCCAGGCCAGCCCATCAATCCCCATGACCGAATCTACCCTGAGGAGATGATCCAGACCGGAATCTCCCCCATTGATGTCATGAACAGCATTGCCCGTGGCCAGAAGATCCCCATCTTCTCTGCAGCTGGGCTCCCCCACAATGAGGTGAGGGACGCATAACCAAGGATCAGCAGCAAGCAGAGGCCTGGGCTTCCAGGCTAGCACTGAGCACTTATGTGCCAAGCAAAGAGTATGTAGGAATGACCAGCATCCGCCCTGGCTGGTGTTTCCTGGCAGCTCAGGGTGAGGGTTGCATAACAGACTCCCCAACACACACTGTCACACATTGCCTCTGGAAAGGGCTGCATGCTGACCCTAGTGAATGGAGTGCTCACTGGCTTCAGAGAACCCAAGCAGACTCCAGTGTAGAAGCCCTGCTCCACTGAGCCACAGCCTGTGTTAGGCAGTCCTTGTGCCAGTGTTTGCCTGACTGCCACCACTAGACAAAAACCATGTGGTCCTCTCAGCCACCGGTGTGACAAGGTTTCTAGATACCCCTTCCTCACCACTCCTGACTGTGCCAAATCTTTCAAGAGTCTCCCTCCCCAACACATCTCCATTTAGGACAGAGGGATCTCACAGCCACATACATTTTAGTCCAGTAGGTTGTGGGAGATGCAGGCTCTGAAAGCTTCAGCTATTGTAAGCTAAAGTGCCAAAATTCACACCGACTATTGCTCTTTGGGGATTCTGCCCTGCTCCTTGTGATAGGTGCCTTCAACTCCTTAGTAGCCAGAAAGAACAGACCATCCCCAACCCTGAGAAAGACTGTGGGATCCAGGGCAGTCCCTCACTCTTCTGGGCTTGGACTCTCCCCACCCAAAGTTTCCAACCATCCATCCTCCTCAGCGGGGCTCAGTGGACCAGATGTCACAAGGATCTGGCCCTGACCGCCTCCCTCCTGGCCCATCCTGTCTCAGATTGCTGCCCAGATCTGTCGCCAAGCTGGACTGGTGAAGAAATCCAAGGCTGTGCTGGATTACCATGAGGACAACTTCGCCATTGTCTTCGCAGCCATGGGGGTAAGGGGAGCTGGAGGCAAGCTCCAGAAACCGTGAGCAACAGCCTTCCTGCCTTGGCTCTAGCACAGCCTGTTCTGCTGGGGAACACTGAGTCCTGCACTCTGAGAAGCCCCTAAAGTTCAGGACAGTCTGGAGGCAGAGACCACAAAAGGACCAAAGGGGGCAAGGATGGACTCAGTGACCAGGGCAGAGTGACCCTTGAGCATCCCAAGGCCACAGCAGCTATAAGATGGGCCATACTTGGCCTGGAGTAGAATCCCAAGAAACCTACAGATACAAGATATCTTTCTGATACCAAGGGTCCTCAGAGGGTTCAACTGGTGACTGAGGAGCTGGGTAGGACAGTAGCTAGCCAAGGGAGGGACCAGAAGAAGCTGGAGGTTAAAAAGGCTGAGTTTTGTGGGGGACTTGATAAGTCTTTCCTGGGCCCTATGGCCACCTCAATGACTGTTCACCTATATGCCAGTGACTATTAAACTGATCAGTCCCCAAGTTTTGCTGAGAAAAGCTGGTCATGCCTAAGCCCCACCCTTGGCTACATGGCCTGCCTATTGCTCCCTGAATATGTGTCTAGGTGAATATGGAGACAGCCAGGTTCTTCAAGTCAGATTTCGAGCAGAATGGAACCATGGGAAATGTCTGCCTCTTCCTGAACTTGGCCAATGACCCTACGTGAGTCCTTCCTATGCTCAAATTGCCTTTGGGGCCTTCCCTGTCCCTAGACCTGGGATACTGGGGTTCAGGGCATCCCAGAACTATAGCCATGGGCTAGAGCTGTGGGAATAACTCTTATTTGTACAGAAAGGGAAACCGAAGCCTGGGGCATGCTAGGAAGCCAGACCAGGACCCCACCTGTCCCTCTGCTTTCCTCATACCTGTGCCACAGCAGCTGTCCTAGTCAGGGAACCTCAAACCTGTGCCACCTCCACAAGGTCATCACTGGAGAGACCACTGTCTATGGCATTTATTTAGAAAATGCTCTATTTTGAAAGTTTGGAAGGTAGGAGTTTAAATCTGTGTTCACATGGATAAAATTAAAAATCTAATAACTTATCCCAAGTATTAAGGGTTCCCCCAAACTAAATAACAGAATTCTAGAGGCTGAGATGGCATTGCTAAGGGAAGTTCCACAGGCCCAGAGCCCAGAACTGAAAGCATCCAGCTAAAGGAAGCATGCTCAGGAGAGCTTCAAGCAGGAAAGAGAAGTTTTTTGGCATCAGAATTGCCAGGAAGTGCCCACTCTTGAGAACCACTGTCTTGACCAGGAGCCCAGGGCTGGGCTCATCTTATCTGTTCCCCTGCCACCATGGACATACCATTCTCCAAGCCAACCTCACACTCCGTTCTGGGGCTTCATGGGACCCAGGCTAGCCCCTGAGCCCTGTCTTGCTTGGCTTCCAGGATTGAGAGGATCATCACCCCTCGTCTGGCACTGACCACAGCTGAGTTCCTTGCCTACCAGTGTGAGAAGCATGTGTTGGTCATACTGACTGACATGAGCTCCTATGCAGAGGCTTTGCGGGAGGTACGCTGGCTGATGGGTGTCAGATTCAAACCACTCCCTCCCTGTTTCTCCCTTGGCCTCAAATCCACTCCAATAAACAAAATAATTCCCTCATCTGGGCCTGCACCTCTCAGCGAGTCTCAGGGTTCAATCACAGGCTGGGCACTCCTCTTATGTCCCCTCAGTCCAACTTCCTAATCTCCCTTCCCTTCCTGAGTCTGGCCTTTCACCTCCCGACATACCTGCCATGTGGATATTGCAGGTCTCAGCTGCCAGAGAGGAAGTGCCAGGGCGCCGTGGCTTCCCAGGATATATGTACACAGACTTGGCCACCATCTATGAGCGAGCCGGCCGTGTGGAGGGTCGTGGTGGCTCCATCACGCAGATCCCCATTCTCACCATGCCCAATGACGGTAGCCTCCGGCACCCCCTGCCCTCCAGAGACTACCCTCCATTTCCACCAGCCACCCCATCACTTCTGTGCTGAAAGCAGAACTCATGTGTCCCCAGGTAGATGAGAACCCACCCCCACACCCCATACCCCACACACTGAACAGGGTATTTGCTTGCAGATATCACCCACCCCATCCCAGACTTGACTGGCTTCATCACAGAGGGACAAATTTATGTGGACAGACAGCTACACAACCGGCAGGTACTGTTCCCTCTGATAGCTGCCTCCTTTCTCCCCACATCTGCTCCCTTGCCCCCAAGACATCTAAAGAGAGTTATGCAAGAAGGAGGAGAGAGAGGCCTGCCCAAAGTCACACCATCAGAAGCTAGGCACTGGGGGAACCTTGATTCATAGCTAGCCACAGGCTAGCCCACTTGGCGATAGGACCTTGAGAAAATGATCCTAATGTCTGCATCAGTGTCTATGTATCACACTAGTGTACTGGGGGTGCATTAGCATATAGGAAGCATTTGGAGAGCACTAAATATAAAGTGTTTCTCTTCCACTTACAGTTAGTAGCTTTAGTGACACTCAGTAGGGTGACAGGGCTGGGGCTGTAGCTCATTTGGTTAAGAGCCTGCCCAGCAGGGCTGAAGAGATGTCTCAGTGGTTAAGAGCACTGGCTGCTCTTCCAGACCTGAGTTCAATTCCCAGCAACACATAGTAGCTCACAACCATCTGTAATAGGATCTGATGCCCTCTTCTGGCATGCAGGCATACATGCAGATAGATAGATAGATAGATAGATAGATAGATAGATAGATAGATAGTGAAGAAAAAAAAAAGAGCCTGTCCAGCATGTAGGAAACCCTGGGTTCCATCCTCAGCACTACATAATCCAGGCAACAACATAGCCTGCAACCCTAGTGCTAGGGAGGTGGAGGCAGGAAGATCAGATTACAAAGCACCTTTGAGTCTGGATAGCCTGGGCTACAGACACCCTGTCTCAAAACATACACACACACACACACACACACACACACACACACACACACTCACACACACGCTCACACATGTTATTAAGCTTCAACTTGCTTGTACAAATAATCAGATGCCTTGAAATAGGGTTTCATCAACTAATTTCACCTCATTGCCCCTAGCTCCAGCTTCCTTACTGTATGAACTCACCTATGTAGACAACCCTCACTCTCTTCCACCTGGTAACCAAGGCCTAGAATCTATGGGGAATAAGGCAGGTGGAGTGTAGCCGCTCACTTTTCTGTAAGATGAATAGGAGTCTTCTGAGAAGGGCATGGAGGAGCAGGTGAATGAAAGGAGAGCCTGAGTGCTGCCACTTGCTACTCTCTTCTGCTCCTCAGGTCTATCCCCCCATCAACGTGCTCCCTTCCCTGTCACGACTGATGAAGTCGGCCATAGGCGAGGGCATGACCAGGAAGGACCATGGAGATGTCTCCAACCAGCTGGTAAGGAGGGGAGGTAATCCCGATTTAGAAGCTGTGGTTCTGAACCCCACCTGAATCAGAAGTTCCTGTCGGGACAAAACTGGTACCCAGCAAGGGGAGCCCAGCCAGCAGGGGTGGTGAGCCCACGCTGCTCTTCCGTAGTATGCCTGCTACGCCATCGGAAAGGACGTGCAGGCCATGAAAGCGGTGGTGGGGGAGGAGGCACTCACTTCGGAGGATCTGCTCTACCTGGAGTTTCTGCAGAAGTTCGAGAAGAACTTCATCACCCAAGGTGGGGCGCGGCGTGGGGCGGGCCGGAACCGGGACCGCCAGGCCCTCCCCTTCTGGACCTTAACGATTCTGCGTGGTCCCCAGGTCCCTACGAGAACCGCACCGTGTTCGAGTCGCTGGACCTGGGCTGGAAACTGCTGCGCATCTTCCCCAAAGAGATGCTGAAACGCATCCCGCAGAGCATGACGGACGAGTTCTACTCCCGCCAGGGGGCGCAGCAGGACCCCGCATCCGACACGGCCCTCTAGGGGAGACCTGGGCTGCCGCCTTCTCGCTTATGGTTCAGCCCTTGTCTTTGCCTTACATTGACAGGAGTATCTTTTGGTGAGGGTGGGGTCTCTTTTTAGGGGCATACTGAGAATGAAAGCCAGGGACGGGGGAATCCAGACTACTAAGCAGGTACTCTACTACTGTACTTTTATTTTAGACACCCCTCCTCCAAAGATATAGCTGACATGAAAAACAAAAACGGTAACTGAGATGAATTTGTCTCCGATGAAAACAAGATTGGGAAAAATTGGTTAATTGTTGAAGGTGAAGATGATACCATGTGGTTTGTAAAAGTATTTAAAAAGAAAAATCTAGTTGGGCATAGGGGAGCACACTTTTAACCCCAGCACTCAGGAGGCAGAGGCAGGCAGATTTCTGTGAGTTTGAAGCCAATCAGGTATAATACTCTGTCTCAAAAAATAAAAACTAGGGAAAACTTGGCTGAATTGGTGCCTTCGAAGCTGACAACAGAATTCCTCTTAGGGACTTATTTACAGTTCAAATGAAAGCCGGGCTGATGTGGCTGAATGCTGAAGAGTTTGCACAGCCTTCAGAAGCCTGGAATACCAGTCCCTGCACCACATAAACCAGGAGGATCAGAAATCCAAGTTTATCTTCTACTACATAGCAAGCTGGAGGCCAGCCTGGGCTACACGAGACCCTATTTCAAAAAATAAAATACGAAAGGACTGTGGCTCTAATCTACTAGTAAAGTACCTGCCTACTATACACAAAGTCTATGGGTGGGTTCCTAGCCCAGCAAAATATAAATAAGATGGCTCAGCTGGTAAAAGCACTTGTCAGCAAGCCCAGCTGCCTGACTACCTGAGTTTAGTTCCCAGGACAGACATGGTGAAAGGAGAACACCAACTCCCAAGCCATCTTCTGACTTTCGTGTGTGCGCGCACACACACACACACACACACACACACACACAAATGTTAAGGGAAGTGAGCTGTGTGTGGTGGCTCACACTTTAAATCCTACTACTAGGAAGCAAAAGCAGGCAGATCTCTGTGAATTCTAAGCCAGCCTGATCTACATAGTGAGTTCCAGGACAACCTAGGCTGTATAGTGAGACCCTGTCTCAAAGAAAGAAAGTTCAGGAGGGAGGAGGGAGGGAGGAAGAAAAAGAAAGAAAGAAAGAAAGGGAAGGAAGGAAGAAGGAAGAAAGGTGGATAATGAGTATTCTAAACCCCAGATGTCCAGCTGCCTGCTCTTCTTCAGTGTCATCCCCTCCATATCTCCCAGAACTGCAGTCACAGGTTCTGAGCCACCCTGTGGGATCTGGAAGCCAAACCTGGCTCCTCAGGAGTAGTAGCCAGTGTCATTAACTGCTGAGCCATGTCTCCAGCTCTGTAGTTTGCTAATTCTTTCCTGTGCACTTTCACATCTGCCACTGGGCCCTTGCTCTATTTTTCAGTATGGTTTCCAGTTCCAGAATGTTCACTTTGTTCTATTTAAACAACTACTCTGCATCATTGTACTGTGCTTAATAGGATGTTGTCCCATCATTTACTCCACCGTTCCTTTTAGTTCTGTGAACACGATTATAAATAAGCACTACTTAGAAGTCTGGCATCCGGGCCCCTTCTCAAACAGTTAGTGTATTGTCTGATTTTATCTTTATTTCTGCTTTTGGGTTATGGTTTTCCATGTCTTTGTTCCTCTCACACTTTTTCTTCTGAAAACTGCTATTTCCAAGAATGTGTATTAGCAACTTTGATCTGCCCATCCCTCTCTCTGGATCTTTGTTTTGTTGCTCATGTGTTGGTGTCCAGGATGGATGATTTTAGTGATGTCTTTACACTCTATTGAAGCCTTGGGTGTAACTACTTCTGGAAACAGCCCTGCATACACAGCCACTCTGCAGGTCTAAATAGGATCCTTGTTGACTGTCTGATCTCTGTTTAACTTTCTGCCTCTGCTAATCTAATACCCAGCTTTTAGCCCTCACTAATTCCCAGCCTCTTGTTCTATTTCCCATGAAGACTCTGGGGAGCAAACTGCAGTGATCATTTTTATCAAAGTCCTGGTTGATGAGTGTTCTGACCTAAGATGCCTCCTCTAAGCTGTCTCTCCTGGGGCTGCTCTGGTAAACCAGTTGGCCTATTAGCTTTTTTAATTGCTTGCCACCCAAATCGGGAGGATTTGAGCTTCTCCACATTTAGAAAACAACAATGTTCCTTTGCTAGGGATTTTTAGAACTCTCAATCCCTACTGATTGACTGGGTGTAACCCCCAAGTCTCTCTGTGGGTGAGCAGACCACTTTTTTCAGGAACATCCTGTTTTTTTTTTTTTTTTTTTTTTTTTAAACTGAGCAATCAGAACTCAAGAGTCTCACGGGTCCTTTGGGAAGAAACTGCCCTGCTCCTGAGAACTTGATAGAGAAGGAGCCCTTAGCCTTTCCACTTAGCTCCCCAGTCTGTGGCTTGAAGCTAGTGACAGAAGGAGAGGCAAAATAGCATTTTGTTCTTCCCAGTGAAATGCCATATATCTCCAGAGCTGAGGAGAGAGGAAGCCCCATTTTCTCAGCCACATACACCCACTTTGGAGCTTCTTCAGTTGCTCTGAAGTACGGGTGGGGGCTAGGAATGGGCCATTGCTCCAACACCATGAGCCCTCCTGTTGTTACTAAGATTTCAACATTTGTGATTATTTCCTCATTTTTTTGCCTTAGGGCTAGGCTCTTTTTTGTTTTCTTTTAATTTTTAGCTTTGAGAGAGTTTCACTATGTAATTCTGGCTAGATGGGAACTCAACTGTATAGACCAGGCTGGCAATCTTATGGCAATCTTCCTGCCTCTGCCTCTTGAATGCTGGGGCTGCAGGTGTTCATGGCCACACCTGGCTCACCCATTATTTCTTTATTTTTTAAAGATTTTATTTATTTATTATGTATACAACATTCTGCTTCCATGATTATCTGCACATCAGAAGAGGGCACCAGATCTCATAACGGATGGTTGTGAGCCACCATGTGGTTGCTGAGAATTGAACTCAGGACCTTTGGAAGAGCAGTCAGTGCTCTTAACCTCTGAGCCAGATGGGCCTCCAGCCCCCCATTATTTCTTAACATAATTTCCATCTCTCATGGTTGTTTCTGAGGACTGTGTCTGCAGAGTGCTTGTGCTTCACTCAGAAATGGAGATCAAGTACAGAGATTTGAAACATGCATACCCCACATATCAATTACATACTTACCTCACATATCAGTTACGTGCTTACCCCACATATCAGGTACCTAGAACATGTCAGGATCAGTCTCTCCCTCTGTCTCTGTCCCCCCTCTCTCCCTCTCCCTCTCTCTCTCTCTCTCTCTCTCTCTCTCTCTCTCTCTCTCTCTCTCTCTCTGTGTGTGTGTGTGTGTGTGTGTGTGTATTTGCACACACCCCAGGAATCTTCCTGTCTCCACATTCTCAATGCTGGGATTGCAAACACGTTTTCACTCCTGACTGTTTAAATGGCTTCTGGGGCTCTGCAATCAGGCCCTCACACTTGCATGGTAAGCACTTGACCAATGAGCCATCTCCCCAGACCCCACAGCATTTTATTCTGGATGCCTCTTGGGATCATTTTGGGTTGTCATTGTACTAACAGGGTAGATGATGAAGTAAACTCCTGGATCCACCAGCCACAAGGAAACTGGCCGGCTGCAAACACCACTGGAAGGGACTAGATATCTGCCCACAGGCCTCTTCCATCCTTAGGATCTGCTCCATGGCTCATGAAAAGAACCTGCTCAGGATGGGCAGGGCAATGGAGTGCTAAGGAAAGCAGAAAGGGGGAGCTTTCTGGAACATATCCTCTCTCCAGTGTTCAGCCCTGGTCAGATCTCTCTCCTCAGTGCTGCCAATACCCCAGACAGTCTTCCTCCAATCTGATCCTACAAGCACAAATGTTCCCCGCCCTACCTGCTAGGACTTGTCATTCAAATTCTATTTCTCTCCCAAATACAGAGCCCACCCCACAAAGACAACATTAGCTCTCCTGGAACCCAGGATGCTGACCTGGAAGCCCTATTTCCTGCCCATTACTAGCCCTAGACACCAAGAGAGCACAATGACTGCTGGGAGCCAACTCGGTCCCTGCCTCTGCTCTGATATCCAGCACATGCCCCCTACAGAAGTGAAAATGGGGGTGAAGGCCCAGCCCTAGCCCCATGCAGATGTGCCCCTACTCAGACAAGCCAGTCCTGGTAGTCCAAGCACAATTTCCCATTCTCATTTATTTGCTGTTGCCTAAATGTCCCTCAGGTGTCACGGTGCCCTAGCCCACACAGCTCATTCCAGGGGCCATCATACCAGTCCTAATCATTGTACCCCAGGGAGGATTTAGCCAAAGAGCTTCTTGCTATTTATTTAGGCTTTCCTGAAAGTGACAGAACCCCAATTCAAACTAGCTTAGGCTTCAGAAGGACCGTGAATAGATTATAGGATAGTGTGGGACAGCAAGCCTTGCATGCTATGGACAGTACCCTTCTGTGTCCTGTGCCCTCTCCAAGCACAGCCTCTTCACCCAGCCTTCCATCTCCCTTGCCAATTAACTACTCTGGAGCCATCCATTACCCCTACTCACCAAGTGAAATTCTGACATTTCTCTTGGTCAACTGCTGTTTTACCAGGCCCTCTGCCCAGCTGCATGGATCTGACTAAAGGGTCCTCAATAAGAGCATCCTTCTTTTCTGAGGCTCTTCCCACCTTTCCCATCTTCTTGACCCTTTCTGGTGACTCGCCTGCCTCAGGAGTCCTCTTTTCTCCTCAGAAAGAACATAAACTACCTTAAAGTAGTTCCTAACCCTGGCTGCATGGGAAAATCACTAAGAGATTTTGTCAAATATTCACACCTGGGCCCCACACCACACCAATTAATCCAAACCTATTGGTATAAGTATTCTGTGTTGGTCTCCTCACTCCAGGGTGATTATGATATGGCATGAAGACTATAAACTATGAGGTCAGGAGGGTCAGGAGTTCAAAACCAACTGGCTACACAGGCATCAGACAACCCTCAGTATTTGGCCTTACTTTATCCTAAAGTCAGTTGGTAAACTCCACCTGCAACAGGAAAAGCTGTGATTTGCTAGTTTTGAAGGTGCCTGGCAGGAGTGCCAATTCCTGATCACTGGGGTTCTCAGCGGTAGTGGTCTTTATAGTCTGGAAAATGAGGTTCATTAGTCATGCCTTCGGTACGTAGCAAGCAAAAGCAAATAATAAGTAGCAAATGGTCGATAGGCAAAAGCAGCAGACAGACCACATCCATCAAATCAGGCAGGCACTCAAAACATCTGTCCAAGACAATTGGGTTAGCATGACTGAGAGCAAACAAGGGCCACAACAGCAAGTTGGAGCTTTCAAATCCAGCAGAAACTGACTGTTGAGGTAGCTAACAGGAGTTCCTCTCCATGGGTGAGCTTCCCCATGGCTCAACTTCTGACTTCCCTTCCCATTGCTGGTGTTTTTATATCATGGGATAAATAATTGTAACATCTGTTGGAAACAGTTCACCTTCTAACTAAGACAACACATTTTACTCCCAGGCCGTTTTGCTGCCTCTCCCAACCCCGACCAGAGTTAGGGTCCCACAGTATTCCAGGAAAAGCTGTTTTAGAGAGCATATAATAATAATAATTAATAATGACAATAATAGTATTATTTAGATTTATTTTTAATTTTTATATGGATGATGTTTTGCCTGCATGTGTGTACTTTTTGTGCACATGTGTGCCTTGTATTTGGGGATGGTCAGAAGGGAGGCATCAGATCCTCTGGAACTGGAGTTATAGACAGTTGTGAGCTACCATGTGGGTGCTGAGAGCCAAACCTAGGTCCTCTAGAAAGTCAGCAACTGCTCTCAAGTCCCAAAACACTTAAACATACAGGAGTCTAGGACAGGGGGGCTCTCCTCCCTCCCAGAGTCCACTTTCAACAACTTTAAACATCACATGGCTTAGCACTATAATGAACATTGCAGGAAATTAAGAGAAAAGTGCTTCCAGGTGGAGAATCTGTATATTTTTCAGAATTTGGATTTACCTTATGCGCATGTGTTTTGCCTGCATGTACATATGTGCACCATTTACATACCTGATGCCCCTAGAGATCACAAGATGACATCGGAAATCCTGGAACTGGAGTTCGAGGTGGTTGTGAGCCATCCTCATGGGTACTGACAACTGAACCCAGGCCCTCTGAAAGATCAGCAAGTGCTCTTAACTCCTGAGCCATATTCCCAACCCCGAGAATCTCTGTTTTGTACCTCTGCACATCTTAGGGTACTCTTCGTCCTTCAGTTTCCTGGGGTACACATATACTCCAAAGGCACACCACAGGAACCCACTTCCCCCAACTGGGTCTTGCCTCCTAGTATCTACTGTGTTTTAAAAATGCTAACTCTGGAGTGAAGAGCTACAGGCTTATACCACCATACTTGGCACTTTTTTTGAGATAAGATCTGACTGTCAAGCCCAGGCTACCCTGGAACTATCCTCCTGTTTCTCAAAAAAACAGAGTGGAGTGGTTCTGCCCTGGACAGTCAGTGTGACGTAGCGGGCGTCCATTGCGCTGCTGCTGTGAGGACATAATCATTTAATATATGGAATGAAAAGGGCAGCTAGTTCATAATGCAACTTCAAATACAAACGCACTGAGTGTGCGCGTCCATGTGGAACCAGGCCCTGCTCGCTATGGGCAGAAATGGCCACACTCCGTTTCCCAACCTCTTTCCGTCTCACCACTATGTGATTCCAACATAGGCTAAGCGTGTAGTGAGCCCGGGGTGCAGAGTTTCCAGAGTTGCGGTCTCCGGTCTCCGTTCCTCTCTGTCCCTTCCGTCCTCTCACAAATCCTGGCTCGGTTCAAAGGCGATGAAGGCGCGGCCAGGGACACAGGGGCTGGTAGTGTGCGCCGCCCCTCTCAGTCTTCTGCGCACCGCCCCTTTCGGCCTCGGTCTCGTGCATACAGCCTCGGTAGTTTCAAATTCCGCACGCCCTCTGTGAGCGGAGCCACTCCGCAGCGCAAGACAGGGGCCTTGGGTTCCGGAGAAGAGCAGTCCTGCCCCGAGACACCGGGCAGCACGCGGCAGGTAGACCACACCTTGTCGAATGCTGCGAGCAGCGATCCCGAGTCCTCACGGTTCAGGTGGGCAGGTCGGGGGGGGGGGCAAGTGGGCGGCGAGGAAGCCCGGGGAGGGGCCCAGACCTCCCTCTCACCCCCGCACGGCCGATTCTAGCTTTTCAGGGTTGTCGGGCAACAAAGTGATTCCCATCTACTCCGAATTGTTCGCAGCCTCTGTGGGCAACGTAGACTGGCTTCGGTTCTGTCTAAATCGGGAGAACCAGGAGATCACAGTTGATGACAAGGTAAAGCTTACAGCATGGAGGCCGGACTGAAATTTCCCAACACCCGAGAGGTTACCAGATGGGGAGCTCCGAGCTCACCCTTTCTATGCCTTGGTCCTAATTACCCATTCGTAGAAGGCCCATTTGGAAGCAGAGAGGTAGGGGATAAAGAATTGTGAGCACCCCCAGGGACACAGGAAACAAAGAGGGCAACCCAAAGACAGAGGCAGGGTTGTGGGCCCCGCCCCAATCCTGCTGAGCCTCTCCTGTGCTCTCCACTCCTCAGGGCTTCACAGCCATCCACTTCGCAGCCCTGAAAAGAAAGCTTTCCTGCCTTCGGGTCCTGGTAGAGGAGTACAAGTTTCCTGTGGATCTGCCTACCAACAAAGGCCTGAGGCCCCTGCACCTCGTCATCCATAAAGACAAGTCGGACCTCCTCCCCTGCATTGACTACCTGCTTAAGAAAGGAGCAGCCATCAACTCGTAAGTCCAGCCTGCCATAGGAGGGACACTTGGGACTCTGGGTCACCAGGCAGGTGTAGTCTTGCAGGACCAGGACCAGATTGGGGTGGGGTGGGGGTGTCTAGTTCTGGGATTCCTGCCTGGAGAAAGCAATCCCCACTTAGTATACTGGTTCTTAAAGAGACAGTGCATCCAGAGAGGACAGATCCAATTCCCAGAATTGGCTCAGGCAAGCTGTGGGTCTGCAGTCATGTCACTCAACCTCTGAGCCTCAGTGTCCTAGTCCCCACACTCAGTGGATGGAGCTTCACAGATACCATTGTGGGCTTTGGAAGTCTTGATGATCCCCAGGTAGTTCTAGTTTGTAGCTTAGTTTGGGAACTGGCTGTCTTTGGTTGAGATTGGGAGAATGAATGTTCCCATGCCATAAAGCTTTTAGGATAAAGGAGCTGAAGTTATAGGTGCTTCTGTGCTGGGAACCAATCTCAGGTCCTCTGCAAGATCAGTATATTCTCTTAACCACTGAGACATCTCTCTAGCTCTACTTGTTCACCCAGAATCCTAACAAAAGCATTCACTGTGTGCTAACAAGTACCACACCCAACCTTGGAACATAGTAACAAACACAGGGACCCCATCCCTGCCCTCACAGAGCTGACTTCCCAGTGGCCGGACAGTTTGCTAATTGCAAATGAATGAATGAATGAATGAATGAATGACCAGAATTCCGAGAACAATGGGGTGACGGGGTAGAAGCACTGGGGAAGGGTCTATCTAAAGGAAGCAATAACCTCCAGGAAGGTGGCGAGTCATTTCTTCATTATTTTTAGTGTTTCATGTAGGCTACCCTCAAACTGGCTATGATAGCCAAGGAGGATTTGAACTTCTGAATCTCATGCCCCCACTTCCCAAGTGCTAGGATCACAGGTATGCATCACCACACCTGGTTCGATACGGTGCTGGAATTGAACCCAGGGCTTTATGTATGCTAGGCAAGTATTCTATCAAAGGAAATGCATCCCCAGCCCCAGGAGGTGGCATTTAATTGCAACCTATAGAGACTGGTGAGATAGCTCAATGGGTAAAGCACCCATTGTACAAGTGTGAGGACCTTAGTTCAAATCCTCAGCATCCATGTAAATGCTGGTTGGACATGGTGAATTCTAGGAGTGATTCCAGCCCATGGGAGACAGAGATAGGAAGTCCCAAGCAAGATGGCTAGCTAGACTAGCTGATTCAGTGTGCTCTGAGTTCAAGTGAGAGAGACCATGCATCTACATATAAAGTGGAGGATGACAGAGGGAAAGGAAGACACCCAGTGTCAACCTCTGACCTACACACACACACACACACACACACACACACACACAGAGTTATAGACATGGATATGCACCGACACACATATGAACATGCATATACATATATGCACACCACACACATTAAATTTAACTTCAATCTGAGGACCAGCCTTGCCAAAAGCCGGGGAGGAGCCAGACTTGGTGGTACACATCTATAATCTACACTAGGCATTCAGGAGTTTGAGACAGGAGGGTGAGGAGTTCAAGATCATCCTTGGCTACATAACAAAGTTGAGATCAGCCTATACTATAGGAGACCTTGTCTCAAAAAATCAGACAAAAATAGATAAGATTGGTGGCCCTGGAGCAATCCAGGGAGCCTCCAGGCAGTTCCTAGCTGTCATATTCAACCACATCCTACACTTAAGATTCGCACTGCTCATTTTAGTCCATCCCTCCTCTTAGAGAAGAGAAACTTGAGGCCTGAAAAGGAGTAGGGTTATGGATTGGGATCCCTGGTGGTGGTGGCAGAGTGGGCACTGAAAGCTGACTTACCTGCCTATCTGATGCCCTTTCCCTTCCCTTTGCCCTTTACCCTACTGTATACCTCACAGTCAGACATGCCATGGCTTCACACCCCTGCACCTGGCCGCCCGCAATGGCCTGCTGGGATGTGTGAAGGTCCTGGTACAGAGAGGAGCCAATGTGCATGCCCAAGATGCCATGGGCCACAAACCCATCGACCACTGCAAACTATGGAACCACCGCGACTGTGCCCGGTGAGCCTATGACAACCATACCAGCTGCTGCTGCTTCTGGCAAGGTTCCCACCCCTGGGGGGCGGGGAGAGCCGAGTCTCTAGGGGGAAGGTTGAAGAGGCCAGGTGGCAGTGGGGTCAGATAAATCTGGAAAAGAGGCCCCATGCAGGATATTGTCCACATGAGTTTGGCTTGACCTCACTTCACCCTTTTAGTTTGAACAAGGCCTTCCTTCCTTCCTTGCCTTTCCCCTCCTCCAACTCTCCAAGCCCATCGGTCACTTTCCTCTCCTCTCTCAAAGGGCCTCTGGGCATGGGACTGGGGTGTCTTACCTATCTCCGCTCTGGCAATTCCTCCCATCCCACCTGGCCCTCAGTGCCCCACCCACTGAGGGAAGCCCAATTACTGTAATAAGCCACACCCTCACCTTGGTGCCAGGTTCTTGAAAGATGCCATGTGGAAAAAGGACAAGAAGGACTTTGCCCGAGAGATGGAGAAACTGAAGACCCTGAAGGGGAAGCTGACCATTTTGGAGTACCGATACCTGACTGAATGTCAAGTAAGGGAGAGTACCCCACCCCCCAAATCCCTCCACCAGGGCTGGGCCCTGCTGTCAGGTCAGAGGAGTAGCTGGAATACTCCCTCGAAGAAGGAACCCCTGCTCCCTCCGAATTCCTCCCTTATAAACCACTCCTTTAGGCCAAAGGTCTTGTCCTGTGCCAGAAACAAATGCAGCCTGAATTATGGGGCATTCAGATAGATACCCTTACCCTCACTGTACACCAAGCTCCTGCTAGGCCTTGCAAGTTCAACAAGGTATGGTCCCTACGTAAGAAGCTTAGGTGCTAGGGAGAGGTAGTTATGCTCCTGGGGGAGGGTCGAGGAAGGTGTCTTTGAAGATGAACAGGCACCCATGTGGAGCAGGGTAGGGCTGGCCCACACAAGGAATCACTGTGCAGAATACATGCAGCACATGGAAACATTATGGAGACAGAAACCAGCAAACTTGGGGATCAGGTACAAGTCGGTGAAGACTGACAGACTAGAGGTTTGGCAAGGGTCCAGACCAGTGAAGCACTTTGGCTAGGTTCAAACAGATATAATGATGGAGCATAAAACATTCAAACAAAACAGGAAACTTAGGAGCTTGGATTCTCCTTCCTTCCTTCTTGCCTTCCTTTTTTACCCTCTTGCTCTATAGAGCTGGCTGGCCTTGAACTCAAGAGCATGGATTCTTAAGTGAATCCTAAAATGGCTGCAGGGCCTGCCACTTTGTACTCTTCCAGTTGTCCCAGCTGTGCCTCTCTTCATGGTGTCCTCCTTGTCTGTGTCACCCAGCCCTTACAGCTCTCAGGTTTCTGTTGACCCTGCCCCTACTCAGCAGCTCCCTGCAGACTTCTACTCAGGATCCTCTTGTTAGCCTCAATGGATCACATGACCACTATTCTTCCAATGACTAGAACAAAAAGCAAGCCAGATGCTGCCTGATTTAGGACTGGGCAAGGCTGAGGGAATTAGGACTCCTGGCTTAGCCTAATCAGAGCCTGCCTCTGGAGCTGGGTCAATCTCCAAATCACCTAATTGCTTAGCAACTGTGTGGGAGTGAGACGCTGAGATAATAGGGGCAGGACATTTCCACACGTGAAAATTTCAGTGCCAGTAGTGCTAAAGACAGAACTCTGGCCGAGTCCCCACCACCCAGTAGCCACTCTGTCCTCCCCAGTGTGACTTCCCAGGAGCCTGTCCAGCTTCATTGCTTCCATCCAATGCCAGGCCTCCCAGCCCTTTTCCTCTCTTCTGGGGTCAAACCAAAGCCATCTGAGGCTGGTGCTACGGCTGGGGGAAGTGAGACCTGCAAACTTGAGGTTGTCCCTAGAGATGGACTATGTCTTTGTCCTCAAGCTGGAGGTCTCCTATGAAAGTCTTTTGTCTCCTCCACAGCCTGGGAGCTCAGTCAGAACAAGGGATGCCTCCTCCATCAGAACAAGGCTCACATAAAGCAGCAACTTGCCCACTAGGCCTGAGGTTTCCCAGAGTGCTAGTCACAGGGTCACCTGTCCATAAGTGCCACTGCCCTGTGTCCTTCGTTGTTGCAGAAAGAACAACAAATTCTGAGAGAGGCTCATTTCAGAACATGGCTCCAAGGCAAGCTGCTAGGCCGGCCCCAGAGCTCTGCTGACCCCAAGCAACAGACTGGTATCCAACCTTGTTCATTGGCTCTCTTCAAGACTCTCAGACCCCAGATTTCCAAAGGCCTCTTATTTTATCCTTCCGTGGAGGCTCGACTACAAAACTTGCCCCCACCCGTAGTGCTACCCAAGCTTGTCTACAAGCAGTCCACCATCAGTCGGCCCAAACTGTGGAATCTTAGCACTAACCCTAACAGGTCCCCAACCACAAAGATTGGCTACCCTCAGGGCATACGCCTGGGTGTGCATCCAGACCCTTATAAGGAGCATGACTTCTGTAGATTCCTGAAAGTGACTCAGAATTCTCTTGGAGGTGCACGGCTGCGCACAGCAGACAATCACTTGGTGACACCTGTACCCCAGCTGCCTTTTGAGGTGATGATCCGGGTGCTGTGCCCAGAGTCTCAACCCGGCAGGATGAAAGTGCCCCAGGGCTTGTATCCAGTTAGCATCCTCAACGTGCCCCAGAAACGGCATTTGAGAGATTCCTCTTCCAACACTTTGGCTATGAACCTGCGTGAGACATTTGATGAAGCCTTCCTGGCTACCCTGAAAGCTTGCCGGACTCAAATGGCCCCACCCTCCAAGGGAGTTCTCTCATAAAGTTGTTTTGGAAACCTGGTGAAGGTGAAGTGTTATGATTCATATTGTGGCAGGGCAGTGGTGGCGCACACCTTTGATCCCAGCACTCAGAAGGCAGAACAGGCGGATCTCTGTGAGTTCTTGGCTAGCCTGGTCTACAGAGTGAGTTCCAGGACAGCAAGGTCTACACAGAGAAACTCTTGTCTCGAAAAACAAAACAGAGTAAAAGATTGGTATTGTGGCAGGAATACGAATGTCTATAGAGTTATCATTCTCAAGCCCAAGGGAATACGAATGCCTATAGAGTTCTCATTCCCAAGCCCAAGGACAGGAGCCATCCCTACCTCCCTCCTCCCAGGAGCACACATCCTAGGCATGCCACCCTGGACCCCAATGTTCCCTTGTCACACACTACAACTCACTCTTTAAACAAAACATTTATTGAGTGCTTTCCATGGGCCAGGCGCCAAAATCAGGTAGTTAATAATATAAAAATCCAAGGGCTTTCCCTGCCCTCAAGGAGCTTCCAGTCTAGTGGGGAGACAGACCACACCACAGGCCAGTGAGCCTAGAAGGATCTGTGTGGCAGCTGGGGTTAGGGGAAGAGAGGGGACATTGAAGGTTCCTTGGAAGAAATAAAATCTAAGTGGAAAAGTGGCAAACTACCAAAGTGAGTAGAGGGAAGGAGCCATGGTCTCTGCATACAGGAGGCAAGTGATGAGGCCAGTAGGGACGAGGAGTCTCACACTCCATGCTAAGGAGTCTGGACTTCATCCTAAGGGCAGTGGAGAGCTGGGGAAAAGCTTGAGGCCAAGAAAGACTTGCCCAACTGTGCACTTTAGGAAAACTACTCCAGCTGGCCATAGGATAAACACGGGAGACTGTTTAAAAACTAGGTGAAAGATGACAGGAGTGGCTCAAAGAGAGAGATACTAAGAATAGACTGGATGTAGGGCAGAAAGAGAAAGCAAGATTTGGCCTGGCTCCTGAACCATCAGGGGACCAGGTCAGGTACTAGAAAAAGCAGGTGAACAGCAGATTTTGAGGTCAAATTGTTCCTGTGCCCAGAAGGCAGAAGAACTGTGGCTAAGAAGTTACAGAGGAATTGGGGCTGAAAGTTGGCCCTGGCTTCCTCCAGTGTCCCTAAAGCCACCAGCATGGCTGGACTTCCTCAGGCAATTCATAACACAGCCAAAGAACAACTGTATGCACAGGGCAAGAGATAGGCCTATACAGAGACTGAAAGGACAGGGAGGTAAAAGGACATCCAGCTATAGAAGTGCCAGGGAAGTGTGAGTCAAGAAGCAGACCATCAGCTGTGTCAGCTACCCCAAGATCCACTAAGTACCATGTGATAGCTCCATCAGGCTTAGCCTGGGAAAGCCCGTCCAAGCAATGACCAGCAGACAAGATGAACGAAGATAAAGAAGTGAACAGCAAGACTGAGTGGGGCCAGTCTCCAGCCTCATGTCCTATAGCTTCACCCACCTGAGTGGCAGAAACAGGTCTGGTAATGTTACCGGTAGCTGCAAAACAAAATTCAGGGAATGGCAGGCGGAGACTCAACAGAAACACAAGATCGGATGAGATGAAGGATGTATGAAACAGAATTAGATGTTCACGATCAAGGGTCTTCCCCATGCCTGTCCATCTGGGCACCTGCCAGACTCACTGTGAGGTATGGGATTCGGCCAGTGGCAGCTCTCATGGGGCCTTCATTCCACGTACTGCTGAGCCCTTGCAAGGCACTGTAGTTGGGAGTGCAAGGTCAACAGATGCTGGTCTGTGCCCAGGATGGGGCCCACCTTCTTAGAAGGCAGAGCTCACATCCTACCAGGAGTCAGAAGCACACGAGTGTGAGGCCTGTGTGCTCTGAACGGCAGCCTCTCCCAATCCCATTTCTCAAGAAACAGGCCACAGCCTAGGCTGCCTAGAAGCCAATTTATTATTTTTTTTTCATTGAGCCTGAGATAGAATTCACCAAGAAACCTCTTCTTTTCCTCAAAGGAAGACATAAATAGGATATTGTAGATGGTCTTCTGCATCCCTAACCCAGTCACAAACTGTTTCTGCTCCCTCCCATCTAGACTATCAGTCTAGGGAAGGAAGACATGGAAAAAGAGGGAGGAGCCTCAGAAAACTGCCTTTATCCACCCTTATCTCTGTTCCCTTCCCACTTAGGGCCACAAGAATTTCTTCAGAAGGGCAAGAGCCAGAAGAGGAGTCCCTGGAGTAGAAGGCTAGCCCAGTCTAGGCAGAAAGTTAGCGAGTAGAGAGGAAGATGGACTCCTGGGGTGTTAAGGCAAACAGTGCCACCTAGAATCTTTATTCAAAGGGAACCAGCATTGGACAACAGCAAAATGCACTTTTCCAGAAGTGCCAACCCTTAGCTCCTCCTATGGTCACCTGCCTGAGAACTTGCTGTCTGTGCCCCAGCTTCACAGACCCTTCCCTGCCTGCCCCATCTGAGCCAGACCCGACTTCGGGACGGGGAAGGCTGGGGACATAGCCTCCTGGCAAAGCAGGCTCTGCTACCCTCTCTGGTGCCCCTGGCAGCATTCAGGTCCCCTGAGGAGGGTAGGGATGGGGCTTCAGAACAGAGGGGAGGGAAACCCGGGCTGGCAGAAGACACCCTCCAGGCTCCTAGGCACTTAGCCCAGAAGCCCAGGGGCCTAGCTCTGCTGGTCTTGCCCCCCACATGCCCTCCCCAAAGGCTCAGTATATCTTCTGCCGACTGGGTAGGATGGCTTCTTTGATGAAGGAAAAGACCACCAGGATGCCTAAGCGCTTGCCTCGCTTGCCTTTGGTGAAATAATTGGAGACCACGTCATCTGTGGAAACACAGGCAGCGAGATGGTGTGCATGTGACCATGAATACAGTTCTCATCACCCAAAGCCCCAGTGTCCTCTCGCAGGGCTGGTGAGGGTGCCCCCACCTGACCTAACAAGCCCTTCCTCACCTCCTGGCTGCATGGTGGAGGGGAGGACATTCTCCCCAGCCGAAAGTGACACGAAGAATGCAAACGGGATTATCCACAGGCAGAATGTGAAGTAGGCCAGGACCTGGTGACAGAAGAGACTGAGAAGGGAGAGCCCCAGGGTTGCCCCGAAGGCCCATCCCCATCCCTGCAGGGGCTAGCACTCAGGGAGCAGGACCCTCTGACACTGAGACTGTCGGGACAGGGGAAGTACAGCATGACTGAATGCAGATCCTCCCAAAAAGTGACATTGCTCTTTTCTGGGGTTTCAAGTAGGAGGAATCCTGGGCAAGAACTGATGGAGCTGGGGCTAGGGGGTGGGGCTGCCACCCAGTCCTGCTTTGTGAGGTCTGGGTCACACAGGCTGGCCTGGTGCCCTTCCTGGACTTGAGGATAACCTTGTTGGGGCACCCAAAGAACTCATAGGGGATGGGGGAGCAGTGTCCTTCCACCTCCGCCATAGGGATCCCTTCTGTTCCTCAGACACCCTGCCTTCCAAAATCATGTCTTTTGTTTTTAAGAAACATGGTTCCTGATGGAGCCAGTTTTGAACCACAGTTAACAATCACAAAGCAGATGGTGAGTCCTCTTCACTCTCCCTTCCCTGCCGCTATACATATGTGCTAGACACTGGGTACCTCTTACCTCAGAGAAAGGATAATATTCTTCCGCAAAAAACTGAAATGCCAGGTAATGGTTCACCACCACTAGCCCTGTGGGGATGAAGAGTCTGGTCACTGTGTGTTCACCAAATCCAGGAGGCCCCCAACCGGAGCCCTGGGTCTCAGCCTCAACTCTGGACCACCTCATAGTATGACTGTTTAGAACTCAATCCCCATCTGTTAAGAATGGGTGCTCAGCCCCAGCTTTCTCACTGAGGAGGGCAGCAGAAATAGAATCAGGAGATAGACTGGTACATCCTGACATGTTATAAAAACAAGTTTTTTGTGTTACATAATCCATGATCACACCATTGCTGGCCCAAGAGCACTCGGTGAAGGGAGGACATGGGCAGGCAGAGCGCACACCATGGCAGACTCCACTCCACACTGTTCAGCAGGGAGGAGGCCTCCCCAGAGACACAGTACAGTCAAGGTTCCTTGGAAAGCTAGCATGGGATGAGTATAGACTGATGTGCCCTGGCCTCATACACTCTTCTCTAGTGTGCACAATTTCATGAAAAAGATCAAGGAAGGGGACAGCTAGCTTCTCAGAAGCACAAAGCCCTACCAGCTTCCATGGCAGGGTGAAGGGCAAGCACCAGAAAGACCATGCACCCCCCCATGCCCACCTCACAACTTCATGTCTTAATTTTCCCCTTTACCACGAAGATAGCACTCTACTATGCCACCCACAAGGCTAAATGACACTAGATGGCACCTGGTGCCCACAAAGTCCCTCAGAGAACTCAGGGATCCAAATGGCAGGCCAAGGGAGTGACATAGAGAGCCAGAGTGGCCTTTTGGTGACCAAAGCTTCTCTCTGGGAGACACACAAAGGACCTTGTGCTCAAAAAATTCTGAGATAAAACCACATCTGGCATTGAGAGATGCCGATTCTAACAATCTGCCTCTCTGTGGATAACATTCATAATTTCACCTAGACACACGCCACCTGCCATCTTGACCAGGTTAGAGCGAGGAGAAACAGCAGTGCCTGTGACTACTTTCTCATGAACATTTGTGTAAATGTGTGACCACCGCATGAACAAACTGGGTCTAACAAAATAGCTAAGGCTCAAGGAAGGGACATGACTTTTCAGGGCCAGGAAGTAGTGATGGGATCAAGTCAGGACCCAAGCCTGAGGCACCAGAAACTTGTGACAATGTGGTGAGGAAAGGCAGCTAGCTCCAAGATGTCGTTTCTGTGACTTCGGGAGCTCCAGGCTTTTCCAAGGGTCCAAGTGGTTTCTTAAAGGTGAGAATCACTCAGCCTGGAATGTGCCTTCTCTACTTTCCCAAGCCCTCCTTCTAACTTGCCTTTTTGACAAGGTCCTCCTGGCTGGAGCCCCTCCCCTGATGAGGTCTAGGCCCTGGGCAGGGCAGGGGCTTTCGGTGCCCGGGAATAAGAAGCCTTTTTCCGCAAGCAGCCTTGCCTCCTGGAGGACCTCAGCAGCGGCTCAGCTGCTGCCCTCCTCAGTATGCCCTTCAGTGTCTGGGATGGAATGCCCACATCCAATCACATCAAGTCTTCCCTGCTTGTCCCCTCTCACCGCATGACAGGATGAAGTTAGGTGATGTCAGCATGATGAAGGGGAAGGTCTGGAGAAGGCCAAAGTAGACGAGGTTGGTGAAAAGGCCCACGCCAATCATGCTGGTGGGGAAGTGTTCAAAGACATAGAGGCCAATCAGGACCGCTGTGGAGAACTGAAACAGACAGAGGACTCGCTACAGGGGACCTTCAGGCACACGTACTCCCAGTCCCAACCTGCCCTGCACAGCACGACAAATAGACTTTGGTTTTCTTGGTTCAGTTACCTCCACAGCCACACTCCAAGGTGGCATCTTTGAAGGTCACTTCTAAAATATTTTGACAGTGATCCAAAGTAAGAAAAAACATTTTACACTGCACTCCACTACACACCCATCCACATGCGTGACAGAGCTCAAACTCAATTTGTCATCCTAGCCTTTAAAAGACAGGGCCTCTTTGGAGCTGGGGAGCTAACCAAAGGCTGCATACATACCCACTACCCTCCACCCCCTGTTCATATTTTCCTTGAATGCTGAGCGTGAGCTACTGAATCAATTACATTAACTCAGTAATGAACCCAACTAGCAGTCTCAGTGATGAAAGGTCTAATTGCTGTACCAACCACACCCACAGACTGAGCCAATGAGCTGGCTGCAGCCCTGTCTTACACAGACTACAGCCCCAGGCTATGTTCAGAGTGAAAGTAGTTGCAGACAGTAGGTGAGTGAGAGGTGAAGAACTCTGCTGTGCACATACATTCCCACAGCAACCTCAGCCTTCCTCACAGCTGCTGGAGAAAAGCCTTCCTCACAGCCCTTGAAAGCAGTGGCAGGGACCAAGTCTTTAGGAAAAGAAGCCTCCCACGAGGCAAGAGAAAGGCCAGGCATGCTCCCTTAGGACAAATGACACGGATTAGAAAGAAGGCAATAAATAAGCATTACAAACTGTCCTGAATGTCGCTGTAAGTTCTACGTCTGAACTGGGGCTGGGGAGTCTGGGGCTGGAGACGGTAGACAGTGGGAGATAGCCACATGAAGGCAAAGTCACAAATACCTATCATTGCAATAGCTCCACTGTCACCTTAAAGAATGGCAGTAGGCTGTGAAACAATGCCACATAAGGATGGAGGGCCAGGGGTGATCTGGACCCAGGAGTGCAGACCCAAAAGGTGGAGTGCAGAGCAGGGAGGTAATGGGACACCCTCAGAACCTGGGTTCTCAGTGCCACAGCAGTTCCAAACTAATCCCCACCCCACTTCCTGCTTCCGAGACGGGGGCAAGCAAGCCCTGGGTGACTTCAGGGAAAAGCTGCCACTTACCCAGATCATGTATTTGATGATTCTGCTGGTGGCCACTGTATACTCTTCGATCAGCTCTGCCAGGTAGTACAGTCCAGCCGCTGGGATGGAGGGGGGTGGCCACAGGACAGGACAAACAGGAAGAGTTCAGCTAGGGCCATTCCCACAAGCCTGCTCATCCCGTCGTCCCCACCAACCCTCCCCAGACTCAAGGAAGTCAGGAAGACGCCAAAGCACCCCTGTGATGCCCTTCTCATCTGCACAAGTAGAACTTTGCCAGGACAACTGCAGAAAGACTGGATTTGACTGCACAACATAAGGTTAACCTCTGCCCCAGGAACCTTAAACTTCACTCAGTCTCTCAATCAATACCTGCAGAACACTTAGCTTACAGGCCGGGCGCTGTACGTTAGCACTCAGCCGGATGACACAGACAGGGCCCTTTCCCAGCCCCGGCTGGAAGGGACAGGTAGAGGGGGCAGCCCATGGCCCCGAGAGCAAGGATGCGTCTTAAAGACCATGCATCCCTTCCGGAAATTTCGGCCGAGGTCCAGCAGGACCAGATCGGGGTCGCCCGCACCCAGCTGCAAAGCGCAGCAGCGGTTGGCGGCTAGGGGCACCAGGGCGCGCGCGGCCCGGGTCAGCGCTCTCACCGACGGCCAGAGTGATGAATGCCACCTGGATGAACAGCGACAGCCAGCTCAGCACGTACATGAACCACATGGCGCCCCCCGGGCGCCGGGACGGGCCTGCGCCGTCCGGCTCCCGCGACACTGAGCGGCCGCCGCCGTGCTGTCCCCCCCCCACGGACGCCTAGAGGAGCCGGGCCGAGCACCGCCACCCGTGCGCCCCCGCCGAGTCCGCGAGCGCCGCCAACCGGCGCGGAGGATCGAGCTCGCGCTGCACCCGGCACCACTGGGACCAAACCTGGCCCAATCCTGCTCCGTAGAGCCATGGATCCGACTTTTCTGGGAGAGGGAAGTTACCGTATCTCAGGTCACACACTAGGAAGCTGCATAGTCCGGAATCCCGGGTGCCTTTAAATGGTCACCTTCAATCCTAACTCTCCCTCTAGGCTTAATTCTTTCGCACGCAGTGCAGGTCTGCACCTTTGCATCTGGTCTAAGCAAGGCTACCGCTAAGCACTGACTGCACTTGCGACACCGCAAGCAGTTGTCTGAGAGAGCACCACCTAGTGGCTGACACAGGCCAGCTCCGAGCGCCGGTATGCCACTTAACTCTGATTTCATTATTTTCATTCAGGCAAGGTCCCATAACCAAGACTGGCCTTGAACTGCCAATCCTCCCATTTCCGCCTCTCAGCTGGTAGGATTTCAGATGTGAGCCACCATGCTAGGACAAAACACAACTTTTGTTTTTTTGGTTTTTGTTTGTTTGTTTGTTTTTTAAGACAAGGTCTCTGTGTAGTCCTGGAATCTGCTATGTAAATCGGGTTAACCTCAAACTCACAGAGATCCTCCTGCCTCTGTCTCCCAAATTCTGGGATTAGAGGCATGGACCACCACACTCAGCTCTTTTCTTTTTGGAAACAGTCTTATGTGCCCAGGCTGGCTTTGAACAAACTATGTAGCCTAAGATGACCTACTGTTGCCTCCTACTGAATGCTGGAATTGTGGGTGTGTGCCACCATATCACACACAGAATCATATTTCTTGATTCATAAAATAAGGGGACATTCCTGAACAAAACAAAAAAGAATTTGGCTGGAGAGATGATTCAGTGGTTAAGAGCCCATGTTGCTTTTGCAGAATACCCAAGTGCAGTTCTAATCACACATGTCAGGTGGCTCATAACCACCTGTAAATCCAGGTCCAGGTGGACCTGGTGCTTTTGGTTTCATTGATCACTTTTATCCAACATACTCCTACACAGACAGACTCACAAATAAAATACAAAATTCGAAATAAGTAGGCCACACATGATCGTGTATGCTGTTAGTCCCAGCACTTGGAAGAAAGAAGCAGGTGGATCTGTGTGAGTTTGAGGCCAGTCTGGCTTACATAGAAAGTTCCAGGATAGCCAGGGTTACATAGTTAGACCCTGTCTCAAAACAAACAGTAAAAATAAAATAAAAATTTTAAATGAGTAAAAATGCTTCATGGAGGTGGAATGTAAATGTGTCCCCTGATCTTGCTCCAGAATTGGAGATAAAGGAACTAGAGTCCCCTGACAGCTGAGTGTACCCATGCTTCACTGTGCCAGCCAGAGCTGATACACCAGCCGGCTGCTGCCACTTCCCCCATTTTATATCCTGATTGACCTGGGCATCCAGGTTTGGAGATCTGAATTTCCTTTGTCAGCAAGAAAGGGGGAAAACCACTGTTTACTGGAAGCTGAAAGACAAGCAGGAAGAAATGAAAAGCAGTTTCTTCTTTCTGCTCCATCCAGTACAACTCCACCACACAGGGCTCTAGAACCCTGGAGATCAAGCTGAGCAGGGGTCAGGGTAAGGAGGGCCAAACCTAGGTCTCAATCTGAGGGGTAAGGAAGGGGGGCATTAAATTCCAAGGACTCACTTCAAGAGTAAAGACTAAGATATTCAAGGCATCTGAGCAGATGGCTGACTTAGTCATGAGCAGAACCTACTTGGCACACGTTCTCATTTGGAGGATGCACAGAGCCCTTTCACATTTACACACGTGTGCCTGGATGCCTGGAGACAGGAAAGGAGCTAGCTCAGCCCCATATAGATCTCTTCCTTGGATCAATGACAGAATCACTTCTTGGCCTTTTTGTCAAGATCAAGGTCAGAAGATGCTAAGTGCTAGCAATTTCTACTCTATAACTCTGTGCCAGACTGGTCCTAAGTGATCCAGATAAACTGACCCAGTTAGCATCACATTTAAGGCAGGAGATGCTACTATTAATGTCTCTGTCTCATCAGACAAGGAACTGAGACACAGAGAGCTTCAAGTCTCACCCAAATCCACATAGTTAGTACCAGGAGGAACCAAGGTTTGAGTCTGGGCATTCTGGTTCCCGAAACTAGGTGGCTTCTCCTGGTCAGCTGGTTCTGCCTGTCCATTTATAGCCTGCCTTTCAGTCCAGGGACTGGGTCCTGCCTTGGCTCCACGCTTCCTCTTTCCTCTCTAGCTTTCTGCTTGCAAGGACGTGTGAACACATGTCACATTTCTCTCTCTCTCTCTCTCTCTCTCTCTCTCTCTCTCTCTCTCTCTCTCTCTCTCTCTCTTTGGCCACCTCTGTCCCCCTACAGTGTGCCTTTACTAACTCACCTTGTAACATTCTCACAGACTCACACATCCACTCTGTCTAAGACATTGGGCATTGACATCGAGCTGTGGTCCCTACCTGGAACAAGGTTTGGTCTTGTTAAGAAAGCTAGTTTTGTGTGACTCTTTGTGACCCCAAAATCCCTTAGTTGGAACTGTTGACTTCTGTCCTCTAGTGGCGATCAGAGGAGTAGCAGAGACCCACAGCCAGGAGTGGTTTTATGGCCTCTTGAAAAAGAGTTTTGAGATTTTCCTGCCAGTCTGCAGGGAGGGAGGGCCAGTCAGAGAGGCCTGATAGCACACACCACACACACACATTGTACACACTTGTGGACAGGATCTGCTTCAGCAATGGATCTCTGCAGTTCTGTCTTCCCAGGTTTCGGCAGTGGTATCAAGAGGGAAACACTCAGAGATCAGATGCTAGCAGACCTGGAGTATCAGGCTCTTCTTCCCTCACAAGCCTGACCTCCTTTCCCTGTCAGCTCTCAGGGACTCCCAGAAACAGCACAGCATGGAGGGAGCCATAGCAGATGTGTTCCCATCCACTCTACTCCATGGCAAACACACACCATGCCTCTAAAAGCCATTTTCTTGTGTAGTGCCCACTTCCTAGGGGGCCAGTTTCCCCTGTGATGGTCCATGGAGTGGGCAAGCTTATTGTTTGGTATCCTGTGTCAAGTTAACCAGAGTGCAGTCTCAGAAGGGGTGAAGGGCAAACTATGAAAGCTTTGTCCACTTCCTGGCACACACAAATGATCTGTGATCCATTCATCCAAGTTACCCGGTGTACCAATGCCCATCCTCATCCTTGTCACATGCTGGAACTGTGAACTGAAGGGCTTTCTAGTGTAATGTCCTCAAAGGTTCTGATCATTGTTCAGGTGCTGTCTTCTAATGTTCCAGGCCCAACAAAACCACATGCAAGGGTGCTGTGATGGTTTGGAAAAGAATGGTCCCACAGGCTTATATGGTTGAATGTGTGGTCTCCAGCTGGTGGAATTACTTGGAAAGGGTTATGAGGTGTGGCCTTGTTGGAGGAAGTGTGTCACTGGGGGTGGGCTCTGAGTTTTCGAAAGCCTTGCCATTCCCAGTTAGCTTTCTCTCTCTGCCTCACGATGTAAGCTGTCAGCTACTACTCCAAAGGCATGCTTTGATTGCCTGTTGCCATGTTCCCTGCCATGATGGTCATGGACTCACCCTCTGAAACTGTCAGCCCCTAATGGACTCTTCCTTCTCCTGGTGGTGTCTTATTAGAGCAGAAGAAAAGTGACTAAGACAGGTGTCCAGGGTTTGGGGGGAGTGACAAGAAGTCAGTGGAGGAGGATCAGACCCTAGTATATTGTTAAAGCAAAGGTCTAAAGACTGAGAGATCTCTCAAATGAAAGGGTTTATGAGACCATTACAGCCACAAGCCAGAGCCAGTCTTGAAACATGTTCCCTCAGCCACCAGCTGCAGAACTAGGTGGCAGTTGGAAATGTGTCTGTCTTCTCGGCATGGTTAGAGTCACAGCCTGGGCTCTAGATTCCCTAACAAGTCAGAATTGGCTGCTGTCCTCAAGATGCCAACTACAGAGACAAGTGGGAGTGAAAAGCAGAGAAAGGAGACTTATTCACAGTGGAAGAGAAACAAACAATGAGGTCCAACAACCCCCAAGTCCATCTTTCAGGGAACAGACATGAGGTTTATGTTTCAGGAGAGGGCAATAGGTAAGCAGTCCTGGTGAAGGTGTGGTTCGCCCATCATTGACCCTTCAATGTCTCAGCTTCAGTCCTCCTGTAAGATGATCTGACAGGCTGTCAGAACTGTGTGAAATCTCTTTCTGGGTGACAAGCTCCTCCTCTGGCTGGCATTGGTTTCAGCCCTTGTCCTTCTCCAAGTTCTGAGATTCCTGTGGGAAAGCCAATTTCTTGTAGTCTGTTGTACTACAAGTACTCTGACGGCCAAAGTGAGGTGCAGAAGTATATCTTGCTAGGTACTGTCTTGCTAGGGTGACTACCCCAGATATTTGATCATGAAAATCTGAGGGCTGGTGGGATGATTCTGTGGGTAAAAGCACTTGTCACCAAAACCAATGACCTGAGTTTGATCCCTGGGACCCTTGAAGGAGCAAATTCACACAAGTTGTCCTCTAACCCCTATATGTGCACTTTGGCATGTATACACATGTGCGCGCGCGCTTGCACACACACACACACACACACACACACACACACACACACACACTAAAACAAATGTAATAAAAACCTTTAAAGGAAAGAGAATTTGGGGAAAGAAAGGCTAAATTGCTTACCATGGATTTGTAGATAAGATGAGGACAAGAGGAAATTGAGCAAATTTTAGTGACTGGAGGATAGGACAAGGGACAGGAAAAGGTAGCACATGAGAAGATGGGGCCCTAGTGGCCATCCTCTTGGGAGTTTTGGCTGTTGCCCAAAACTACTGTTACCTGGTTCTTTTGCTTCACCCCCTGGCCTGTAACTAACTTTAGGATACTGCACACTTTTCTATTGGCAACACAAACTCTCTCTCTCTCTCTCTCTCTCTCTCTCTCTCTCT